TCCGCTGGCTTGCCAGCCCATCTTCACCCCCCCCCTCCAGAGACACTGGGAGGGGCAGGTGGCGTCCGGCCTCTCCATCCCCGGCGCGCTGCACGTCACCATCCCGCCTCCCTTCCCCCACTTCTGCAGCCGCTGGGAGGCCTGGATGGCATGCGGCCTCTCTATCCCTGGTGCACCGCACGTTGCCGGCCTGCCTCCCCGCCGCTTCTAAAGCATCTGGAAGGGCCAGCTGCCATGCGCCCTTGTCTTTTGCCAGCGCGCAGGCTGTCTTCACCCCCCCCCTCCGGAGCCACTGGTACAGCCGGGTGGTATGTGGCCTCTCCTTTGCCACCGTGCTCGCCTGTCTCTGCCCCCCCTCCGCCTTCTGCACCTGCTGGGAGGGCTGGGTGGCATGTGCCCTCTCCTATGCCGCCCACCCTCACTCCCCGCCTTTTAGATAGCTATCTGCAGGGCGGATGTGGGCCACGTTTGCAGGCGGGAGCACTCTCCCAGACCCTCTCCCTAGAGCTTGTTGCATTCTTTTCCCCAACGGGCCTTATCACTAGTATTTAATATAAGGGAAAGGTGAATTAAAGAAATGATATATATATGAAATATGCTTGAACTTGTTTCCCTAGCCATTGTAGTGGGAGCCACACAACATGTGTGAAAGAACCGCATGTGGCTCCCGAGCCACAGTTTGGCCACCCCTGTCCTAGAGCTACCCTATGCCACTTATGGGTTTCCCCTGGAAGTGACAGAGACACACAGGACGTCACCGCCCCCCCTCATGTCCCCAGCCGCAAGCCTCCCGCAGGTTGCAGAGCCTGGCAACCCTTTTTTGAAAAAATATTTTTGTTACATTTTCCCCACGGAAACATATACCTATAAGTTAAGTATGCTCTGAACAGCTGTTGGAGATCTGCTGTCAATTATTACTGATCAGAGTACATATTCCAGTTTTGTAATGTCTGCGGCTTAGATTTCAAAATCGCTCCTTGATTCATGTAAATGTCTTATTTCAACATTAAATATTATTTTTTTATATTTTTTCAGGGAATTAAAGGAGAAAAAGGAATAAGGGGAGAACCTGGAATTCCAGTGAGTCCATGGAAATTAATTCTGTCTGTTTTGTTTGTTTATTAAACTGTTTCTACCCTGCTCACTGCCTGCAAAGAGGCTCAAGCCAGCAAGTGTATGATGCCACATTAAACCAGCAAAGTCAATTTAAAAACCATCAACACTAAGTGACAGTAACGATCCTTTAGGCACCATGCCGAACTGTTTCTTTACCCAGGCTTTTTGCTGAAGAGTTGAGGCTTTTTTAGCTGTCTTTGCAGCAGGCCTTGACAGTTATGGGTGCCAGGTCCCTGTAATGACTAGAGTTTAGGGTTGCCAACCCCCCCGGTTTGCCAGGGGTCCCCCATTTTGGGGGGGTTCTACCTGCCGCCAGCCAGATGGCCAGCAGGGGAAGCCCCAACACCCACAGCCACCCCTCTCTCTCCCTTTAAGTGTGTGGAACCCGTGTTTCCTCCCAAGCCCGATGTCCGCTTGAGATCAGGCTTGCAGGGAAATGCCAGCTTCGTGCACTTAAAAGGGAAATGCGGCTGCTCTTAAAGGGGAAACGCCGGCTCCTGCACTTAAAAGGGAAACACCGGCTTTTTTAAGTGCAGGGAACTGCCGTTTCTGGAGATCTGGCACGCGGGGGGGGGGGGGGGGGTGGACCACAATGGTGTCATCACGTCGAGGATGCCCCGCCCCCTCCAGGAAGATGGACTAGGCAACCCTACTAGAGTTGCCAGCCCAGGATGGGGAAGTACCTGGAGATTTTGGTGGTGGAGCTGGGGAGGGCAGGGTTTGGGAGGAGAGGGACCTCAGCAGGGTACAAAGCTGTAGTGTTCACCCTCCAAAGCAGCCATTTTCTCCAAAGGAACTGATCAGTTGTAATAGTGGGAGATCTCCAGGTTGCACCTAGAGTTTGGCAACTGTAATTGTGACCTTAGGTTTGCTCCAGATACCTAAAGCTCTGGTGGCCTTTAGACTGTAAACTCTGTTACAGAGTTTAAAAGAAGGAGGAGGGAAAGGGATAGTCAGCCCTTAAAAGGAATGCCCTGCAAAACTTAGCGCAGAGCTAATTTGTTGCTAGGATACAAACTGTGATGCAAACAGAGCTCCACTGCTGCTGGCTCTCCTTTGCCCTTGTTGGGAATTTATGCTCTTTCCTGCCTCAGCTGGGAAAAGGTGAATGCAGGAGGGTGGCAGTGCTTGGTGGGGTACACTGTCTCGGAAATTAGTTCTTGGCATGATTGGCTACTAAAAATCCCAATAACATCCTGAAAAAACCTTAGATTAGACAGTTTATTACCAATTGCAAGCTGCAGTTTCAGAACAATGCCAAGGCAAGAGACTTTTCTCCCAAAGCTAGGACAGGGGACAGAGAAATCTGACCTGGAGAGGAAGCAACCAATCTTACAGGCTTTGAGCCAACTGTTGTTCTTCCATGCTTGTATATAAGAAACCTCCTCTACAAGCTCTTCTAAGCAGGACTGCCTTGAATTGCTTCTCTGAGAGCTAACAAGGCGGAGAACCTCCTGTCTTCCTCTTAGACGCCATTCCAGTGGGTTGTGGCTACTAGGGGTGTGCAGGGGGGAAAATCAGCTTTTTTCATATTCAGGTCCATTGGACCCGAAAAATATCAGCATTTCCCGATATTCCCGAATACCAATATCGGTATGGTATTGGGATTCGGGTAAATAATTAGGAAACCCAAATTTATTCAGCATTTTAAAAATGCCTTCCCTTCACTTGCGGAGTCACACTGCTGCCGCATCACGCCTCCACAAGTGAAGGGAATGCCTTCTCCAAGCTGCACCACCGCAGCAGCACAACTCGGCAATATAGCTAGCCCGATTAAAAGCTGAATAATATCGGCTTTTATTCACACCAGCTATATCAGTAGCTGAATCAGATTGTCCAATCTGCATTCAGCTGAATAAATACCCCCAAAATGCCAATAAGGTATTTTTTGGGTATTTATTCAGTTTGGTGTATACTGAATTCACACCCCTAGTGGCTGCCACTGGGAAAGCCTCAAAATGGGCTGAGGCAGATTTCACACCCATAGAAAATGGCACGACTGGGAGTCACCACAAAGGGTGCAGCTGGCATGCAGGTTTACACAAGGAGAGACAGTCCTTCAGACACCTGGGTTTCAGAGGCTTTATAGGTGGGGGGAAAAACAGTTTAATTTTTTGCCCAGAAACAAATTGGCAACCAGTGAAGATGTTCTGAAACAGGCATAAGGTGCTTGTTGAGTGGCTCAGCCCTGTCAACAAATGGGCTATCATGTTTCGCATGACTTGAACTTTCCAAGTTAAAGGGCAGCCCCATGAAGAGCGTGTTACAGTAGTCTAGGCTTGCGTTTGCAGGAACATGAATCACCATAGCCCCCTCAGTTGACTCTAGGAGGGAGGACAGTTCCATCAGAGAGTGCGATATGAGGAGAGGAAGGCAAGTCATGTACAGCAAAATCACTGTGCTGCTCTGTGGTTCTAAACTACAGCTGTGATTTTTTTTTTTAGGGTTCCCATATATATATAGCTGAAAAGGGCGAAGAAGGAATCACCGGCTTTCCCGGACAAAGGGTAAGAATATGATAGAAGTCATGAATGAATTCTCTCCCCCATATGATTCTTTCCTTTCACTTCTCTGGAACATTGGGAGCCATCACTGTATACAGACGGCATTTTGGGCGTCGTGGATTTAGTTGGTGCATCCAGTCGGATTTTCACCAAATAGTTCTGCTCCCATAGAGAGGCTGACTGGTCTCCAGATCTGATGCCTGGAAGAAATTTTCTTGCCAGTCAAATTAACCAAGGGGGGGAGACCTAAGAGGGCCCAGTAATAACTGCTCCCTCTAAGCTGTGGAAGCAAAAATTCTACTTTGTGAGCTCCTGGCATCAAAGTTGTGAGTGAGCGATTTGGAGACTGCATAAATTAGTTTGCTCTGGAGCCATCCCTTCCTGAGCTGAGGCAAAAAAATGTGTGAGCCGGAAGCTAAAGAACTGTGAGCTAGCTCACACTTAACTCAGCTTAGCAGGAACACTGGTAACAAGCCATCTTTGCTTGAGCCGTTGTCTCCTATATCAGAGGGAAGCTATGGTTTAAACCGGGTGGGTTGATTTGTGGTGATCTGAAATGTAAGTTCACTCTTGGGCACAACGTATTCTGGTGGAAAGGGCCGTCAAATCGCAACTGCCTTGTGGCGAGGAGTTTCCAAGGCAAGAGATGTTCAGAAGTGGTCTGCCATTGCCTGCCTCTACGCGGCAACCCTGGAATTCCTTGGTGATCTCCCATCCAGGTACTAACCAGGCCTGACTGTGCTTAGCTTGTGAGATCTGACCGGGCTACCTGAGTCAGGGCAAGATGACTTCTAGGCAGGGCTATTTTGGGGCAGGAACGCACAGGAACGGAGTTCTGGCTGGCTCCTGAATTGGCCACGCCCAGCAGGAGCTCATTAGCGTAATAAGACACACCCAACAGCAGAAACTCATTAGGATTGGCTACATTAGGGGCGTAGCATGCAAAGGAGTCCCTGCTACAAAAAAAGGCCCTGGGTTTTGACAACAAACAAGGTAAACCGCAAAAGGTGGGTATGGCTGGATGACCACACTTCTGGTAGCATGGGGGTGTGGCCTAATATGATAATGAGTGGTGTTGTCGGGGTGTGGCCTAATATGCTAATGAGTTACTGCTGTTGGGTGTGGCCTATTATGCTAATGCATTCCTTCTGGGCTTTTTCTACAAAAAGAGCCCTGCTTCTAGGGATTACAAGAGGAGGGCTTTCGTGCACCCTTCTCTGAGCAAAGATGGACTCCAGCTCTAGGCCGTTCTATGGTGAAACATGCGATGCCCTTCATATTCCCTCTTCCTTTGGTCTCAGGCTTGCTGGGGCCTGTTCTCCAAAGTAGTCGTGACTACAAGATCAGTCATTTGACTTTGCTTGTCAATTATACTTTTGTAGGGTTTGCCGGGCATCAATGGTCTAAAAGGAGTTGACGGAGACGTGGTGAGTCTGCAGTTCTAAAGTCATATTTCATTTCTGGCATTTGTACATCTGGATGTTTTTATCCGTTGCACTGCTTGCCCGTTACAGAAGCAACCCTGGAGTTCCTTGGTTCCGCAGGGCCTGTACAAAATTCTGCAGGGCCTGTACAGCGGAGCACTTCCGCCCAGCTTTTGGCTAACTGGCAAGCGTCCGTTCGTTTAGGCCCCTCCTGCCCAAACTGCCCTCAAACCGCCTTAGGGTGCAGATGGCAGTCGTCACCATCAGTTTTAACAGGAACGTTTTGTCGTATTTCCGCCCGCCTGATCTTCAACACAAGCTGCACGATCGACTATTGCCGGCCCACCATTTGTCTTTTACTCAGGACTCTTATTGTTATGGTTCTGAGAAGTTGTTTTATTGTTTATATCTGTGTCGTGACCTGCTCTGAGCCCGCTTGAGGGGGACGGTGGGATACAAGTAAAATAAAATAAATAAATTATGCATCCGTCTCAAGGAAGCCTAGGAAATCTTGACCAGGGCAAGGAAGATTAGTTAGAATCTTGGAATTACTTTGTTGGCTTTAATGACTAGTTAGTTAACTATGTTTAAACCACCGGTCTCATGTTTATTTCAGGGCAGCCCAGGACCAGATGGCTTCCCTGGCCGAGACGGTCAAAGAGGAATGAAGGTACTTCATTGCTTTATTTAGTTGCTTGTACAGTCAATGAATATGAATCTTCAATCAATCAGCAGCAGTGATCACTGAAAGATACACAAATCAACGGCTCACTTCAGTGTTCCTTCAGTCGCACTCACAAGTGTGATATCTTGGCAGTGCTGCAGATACAGTCAATTTAGCGACATTTGATTATAGCGGGCCTGCATATGAAGACCGGAGAATGAAGAGAAAGGCGATCTATACAAACAAAAGACACTCTGTAAGAAAACACTGTGTGGCTCAAGTGGTTAAGACGCTGAACTGCAGGTTGTGGAAGGTCAGTAGTTCAGCAGTTCGAGACCTGGGTGCCGCAAGACGGAGTGAGCTCCCGTCTCTAGTTCCAGCTCCTGCCAACCTAGCAGTTCAAAAGCAAGAAATTGCAAGTAGATAAATAGGTACCACTTTGGTGGGAAGGTAACAGCGTTCCGTGCATCTTGGTGTTTAGTCATGCTGGCCACATGACCACGGAAACATCTTTGGACAGCGCTGGCTCTTCGGCTTTGAGACGGAGATGAGCACTGCAACCCTAGAGTCGGATTCGACTGGCTTTCGAGCAAGGGAACCTTTACCTTTTAAGAAATCAGTGGCATGGGAATTACATTTGTGCTTCTCGGGCTCATCCAAGACAGTTGAAATAGTTGACTTTTGCCCATCGTGTACTGAAACTGGGGAGATGTTTTTGGTGATGATGGAATTTTACTTTTCCAGGGAGAGCCGGGAGACCGAGGTGTTCGAGGCCAGCCAGCTTATGCACATCAGCCCACTCTGATAAAAGGTACAGTTGTGAAGTAGGTTGCTGGTTCCTGTTGTCACTAAACGGGGAGAGGGGAGAGAAGTCATCGCTTGTGAGCAAAGCCAAGTCAATGGATTGCCCACTGACCCCAACTTTAATTCATTGAGTACAGTCTGGGCAGGTTTGGTACGTTGCTTCCATTTAAGAAGGAAATGCCAACATGATACCAAGTTGTGCAGCGGTTTTAGAGGCAGCCGCCTGCACATTTCAGCAGAATTCCTATGCGCCGTGTGAACCAGGGATGTACCGTAAGTGGTTTGACCAGTTAAAGTACTCAAGCATCTAATGAGAAATGATAGCCGAAAAGCTGAAAAGGAGTCCAAATTTGGAAAACGGGATGTCTTTGCAGGCCGGGCTCAATCATAAAGGACAACTCTTCGGATGTTTGTCATTTGGAGCGTCTTTTCCTCAAGGAAACGCAAATGCCAGGACATGTATCGGTCATGATCCAGAAGTCATACCTGGATCCTACCCTTGACATAACCAGACACCAGGATGGGGGGGGGCTGGCTCATTCCCACGGCCTGCCTTGGGTCAGAGGCTGTTTGGAGGCCGGGTTCGGTGGGTCTGGCCCCTCCCAGTGTTCCCTTGGTTCAAGCAACCAGTGGAAGCCACTGTGCAGCCTGCTTAACTACTGGTGGAAAGTGCTGTCGTCGCAGCTGACCTATGGTGACCCTGTAAGGTTTTCAAGGCAAGAGACGTGTTGTACATATTAGATTCCATGCCAAAAATGAAGTCAAATGAGGAGGAAGTTCTTGCATTTTATTGTAATGAAATACGGAAAACAGTTAGGCCAAAGGACCCATCAAAACTGACTGCTTTCTTCCCAGTGGTAATTTGAGTAATAATCCTCTGATTGGCCAGATATAAAGAAACATATCTACGTCAAACTAAGTGTTTACTTAACCTAACCTAAATGATAATGGGCAAGGATTCTTCATATCAGACTAAAATCCTATCTGACCCAGACATTGAAAGGTTTGCCCTAAGAACTACAGAATCATGAACTTTGTACCTTTTATGTTGTCTGCTAACAATATCAGACCTACAAGAGGAAAGCCTTCTATATAACAGGCCTTTCTAACAGCCTAATAAAATATTACTTAAAGAATAAATCTATAAAAACCAGAGAAATATGAATATGAGCAATCAAGAAGGGAAAAAACCTATATATAAAAATCTTTATATTCCCATTCATACTACAGACGTTCAGGAGTGGTTTGCCTTTGCTTGCCTCCGCATAGCGACCATGAACTTCGTTGATAGTCTCCCACCCAAATGCTTGCCGGGGCCAACCCTGCTTAGCTTCCAAGGTCTGCCATTCTACCCTCCTGTCTCCTCTGAGCTGTCAACGAATGGCAAGGAAGCCAGGACACAGACGCACAAGCCCCAGCAAGGGCTGCACAGACTCTGTGTGTCCATGTGCTCCGCCTCGGAGTGCATGTCGCTTGCGCACAGAAGTGGGTGGTAGCTCAAGTGCTTGGCTGCCCAGTTGGTGCCCTTGGCAGGATGGGTCAATGGGGGTATGTTTGGTGTCGTGGTTAGGAGCGCGCGCACTAATTTGGGAGAACCGGGTTTGGTTCCCTACTCCTCCACATGCAGCTGCTGGTGTGGCCTTGGGTCAGTCACAAGTTTTCTCAGAGCTCATGGGGTATCTGTTGTGGGGAGGGGGAGGGAAAGGAGATTGTAAGAAGCTCTGAGATTGGATGAGGAGGTCCAGTTCTATGAGCCCCAAAAGACAGTGCCCCCATCCTCCATTATTTCCAATGGAGGGAAGAGTAGTGAAGGGGTATAAATCCAATCTCCTCCTCCTCCTCCTCCTCTTCTTCTTCCTGGGGATGGATGGGCCACTCCGGCTATGCCTCAGGGATCTTGCACTCACCTGTATGCATTGTGCCCTCCACCAGCGGGTGATGGACTATGCTCATTTCCTATACTGCATTGCTTTAGAAAAATGAAGGGATTCCTGTGACTTCTTACTTTGGGGGCTTCTTATAGTATCCTTGTGAAATGTCAGTTTATATATCAATGAAATGGGGGTTGATGATTATCTGTCATGCAACCATAATTTGCAGGGGGTGGGGAGCATGAAACTTCAGTCTTTATTCAAGGGTTTCGAATACAGTTAGCGTGAAGCATTTGGAAGATAGTATCATTTTGTCTTATCACATGTACATTTAGTCATCGTCTAGCGTTTGCCCGCTTCCTCTGTTGTAATCTCTGCTATTTTTAAAATGTGCCTTACATTCTCTGCCCGGTTATGCTTCCCAGAAGGGTGAAGACAATTCAGCATGAGTCATGCTGCCTCGAATGCCCTCATTTCCAGAATGCCTGTGTCTAGTATTTGTAATTAAATGATGCAGCCCGTTAACCTAAGGCAGGAGTCCCCAATATTTCGGACCCTGTGGGCACCAGTGAAATTCTGGCATAGTGTAGGGTTGCTAATCCCCAGTTGGGGGTGGGGGATCCCACGGTTTATAGCCCCTTCCCCTGCTTCAGGGCTATCAGAAATCAGGGGAATGGCCACTGGGCACTCCAGTATACCCTATGAAGACCAGTCCCCATAGGGTATAATGGAGAATCGATCCATGGGTATCTGGGGCTCTGGGGGTGCTGTCTTGTGAGTTAGAGGCACCAAGTATTCAACATAGCTACTGATGCCTCTCCTCAAGAAACCCCCCAAGTTTCAAAAAGATTGGACCAGGGGGTCCAATTTTATGAACCCCAAAAGACGGTGCCTCCATCCTCCATTATTTCCAGTAGAGGGGGAGGCATGTAAAATTAAATGCAATGACAGCTCACCCGGAACTCACTTCGGAGTTCAGTCACGCTTCTTCCCTCCCCTCACCCAGAACCTTCTGGTAAGTCCCCCTCTGGCTTGTAGGCCTCACCTGGCAACCCTAGTACAGTGTGGTAGGCACAGTCACAAAATGGCTACTGCAGAAGGTCGACCCAGCCACAAAATGGCTGGCTCTACCTCCAGTCACACAGTGAAGATCCTTGTGGTGTGTTGGCAGCTACTGACAAAGCCGCCTTTTGAAGAAAAATCTGTGCAGCCAATCAGATCTCCAATGGCCAATTAGAAGCCCTGCTTGTCAAAAGGCCCACCTGGCCCTGCCCACTTGGGCGCCAGGGAAGATATTGGCGGGCACCTATGGGCACCACAGTGGGGAGTGCTGCCCTAAGATATCTATCAAAACTTAGTTTACTGATCTGGGCTATTCCAGCATGAGATACGGTGTGCGTCTTCTGGAGTAATGCATGTGTATGATACTCAGCTCAGAGGTTTAACATGTATTCTTGTGGGTGTTTTCAGGCGCAAGAGGTGACCCGGGAGCCCCTGGTTTTCCTGGGCCTGCGGGAGACAGAGGTGAACAAGGCAGTCCTGGGATTCCTGGTCGTCCCGGACCAGCACCGGGTAATTTCCCACTCACTTCCTTATTTGGATATTGGCTAGGAGGGAACAAATGGTTTGGTGATATCTTGTCCTGGCCGTGGGCGACAGAGGATCCATGGGGCAATGTGGAATTCTCAGGAGGCAACCCCAACTGTGTGGGATCTAGGGCCACCATGACTGGTCAGAGGAGCAGGTGGCAGGACTGGTGGAGCAGGGGCTGCAGGACAAGCCGTGAGGCTGACAACTTAGTCCAATGAGCGCTAGAGCCTGATCCACTCCAGGTGGCTCCTTTCTGGCCCCTCCCCTGTCTCATGCTCCGCCTTCTTTCTGAGGCGTGGAAGTCTTAAAGGGGCAGCCTCCCACCATCAAGATTCTTGCACTCGGTCCACATTCAGTTATTTCCAGATGAGTCCCTTGTTGGTTTTGGTGAGGGGAACAGGGGGCTAGCAAGGTTTTCAGCGGTGGATGTGACACTTCTTCAGGAGGTTATAACAACCCATACATGGGGTCGTCATTGTCATTGTCCAGAACTGCAGGGCCCACAAGAATTAGTTGTTGTAGATTTTCCGGGCTGTATGGCCGTGGTCTTGGCATTGTAGGTCCTACAAGGCCAAGACCACAGCCATACAGCCTGGGAAATCTACAACTAATGAACTCCGGTTGTGAAATCCTTCGACAACATATTATTCCCACAAGGATTTTCTGGCACCTCCTCTTCTATATCAAAAATATATGAGAAAACACTGCAATAAGACGCAAACCTCCAATATTAGTTACAAATATGTAGTGTACAATATTTTTACAGGTAAGTTTATCATGCGTATTATGAAATAATACAGTCAACAGGGTAAATCCGAAGGCGTGAACATTTAAACATGGATCAACAATGAGTGGAAACAACGTATGAACATCAAGGAAGAACTCTTATTCATAGAAGCGTCATCAAAAAATCATGACGCTTCCTTGAATAAGAGTTCTTCCTTGACGTTCATACATCGTTTTCACTCATTGTTGATCCACATTTAAGTGTTTGCGCTTTTGGATTTACCTTGATGATTGTATTATTTCATAACGCGCATGATAAACTTACCTGTAAAAATATTGTACAATATATATTTGTAGCTGATATTGGAAGTTTTAGCATCTTATTGCACTGTTATATATATTTGACTTGTATTTATGCACTGTAACACCTCCTCTTCCATGGCGGAGTCCTTGCCATTCCTCAAGGCTGGGATCCTGAGAGTTGGGGAAGATTGGCAGGTGAAATTAGGGTACTGATGCCTTTGCCTATTAGTCACAAATAAGGACTTCTGCAGCACCATCCTAACTAGAGCTACCTCCTTCTAAGCCGATTGACTTCAATTCCGCACTAGACCTTAAATACTGGTTCAACCCTGTCCCCGAACTTACATTCTACACTACACTCAAGTTCACCTCTGTAATTATCTCGGGGTATTTTTTGTTTCCACGTTACATGGAGGTCACCCCGGTTTCTCCCCACACTTGTCTCGGGATAAACGGATGCAGTTATTACAGGCTCTTTTGTAGAAAAAGCCCAGCAGGAACTCATTAGCATAATAGGCCACACCCAACAGCAGAAACTCATTAGCATATTAGGCCACACCCCTGACAACACAGCTCATTAGCAAATACGGCCGCACACCCATGTTACCAGAAGTGTGGTCATCCAGCCACACCCACCTTTTGCTTGTTATTCTGTTTATCTTGTTTGTTGTCAAAACCCAGGGCCTTTTCTTGTAGCAGGAACTTCTTTGCATGTTAGGCCACACACCCCTAATGTAGCCAATCCTAATGAGTTCCTGCTGTTGGGTGTGGCCTATTATGCTAATGAGTTCCTGCTGGGCGTGGCCAACTTGGGAGCCAGCCGGAACTCCGTTCCGGTGCGTTCCTGCCCAAAAATAGCCCTGCTGTTATACCCCAGAGATAAAGGCAAGGTATTATGTCGCGAGTTGAACTCTGATAAAACCAGGGATGAGATCCAAGTGCGGAAAGGACCTCTGTTTAGGATGGCACAGTTAGTCCCTTCCAACACTGTGTCTCTGTGATCTTCAACAGTGCTCTTAAAATCGGTGCTTGAAGCCTGAGGCAGACAGTGCTTCTGCCGAGGTCTAATCAGTGCAAGTTGACACCGCTGTCAATCATTTTCTGTGCTTAACATCATCCTTCCCAGAATTCTGCTGAAAAATGCCCTCTGAGTCTGTCATTTCAGCAGCATCGTAATATATGTAAAAAAATTCAAAGGATCTTATAGCAACAGCATGTTGAAGTCTTGTATCTTGGGACCCTGCATAGATGGAACACCCACCGGGGTCTTTAGCTTCGATCCTGTTGCAGTTCAGCTGGAAACAGGTCACTTCTGTCTGCCGGCTTCCTAATCTACTCTAGACAATTAGGTGAAGCCCTACCCTGAAAAGGTGTCCGGAAGAGAAATGTCATCGTTGTTAGCATGATCAGAAACCAAACACTTGTATTTCTACACGTGTAGGGGTTATCAATAACTTTTCATCCAGATCACAGTAAAAATCACAGATATCTATTCTCCCCATTCCAGATTTCTCTGCAGGGAGAGGTTTGCCCGGAGAAATGGGTCCCAAGGGTTTTGTTGGTGATCCGGGGTTGCCTGCTTCAGATCCAGGACCCCCAGGGTTAGATGGTCTGCCTGGACCACCCGGTTTTCCTGGCGCACCTGGCCCCCCAGGTAGTTCAGGTAAGTGGCCAGAGCATTTTTGGATTAGCATTTTTGGAAGAGAAGGCAGTTGAACTTCAAGAAAGTAGGATTATTTGCTTATTTAGTGTATTTTTATCATGCTTTTCTCCCCAGCAGTGGGAACCTCAAGCAACTTATGGAAAAAATATTATTTAAACAGATAATATAATTTACATATAATTTAAACAAATAGGCTGCCTTTCTACCCAATCTGGGTCCACGAGGCAGAAAACATAAAAAAACATCAAAACACAGGAGCAATTAAAAATACGGTTGGGCTCTTTTTGTAGCAGGAACTCCTTTGCATATTAGACGACACCCCCCCTAATGTAGCCAATCCTCCAAGAGTTTACAGAGCTCTTCTTACAGGGTTACTGTAAACTCTTGGAGGATTGGCTACATCAGGGGTGTGTCGCCTAATGTGCAAAGGAGTTCCTGCTACAAAAAGAGCCCAAAACTATAAAATAATTTAATTAAAATACATACACTAGCAACACTAGAAGGCGAATCAAGGAGAATCAATAGCCTTGCCAACTTTGTTGAAAACAAAGGCCTGTGTTGCTCTTATAGAACTTTGATTGGCTAATTCTTTTTGGCTTAAAGACTGGCTCCAGATTAAGGCTGTTTCAAACGGCAGTGCTGAATGCTGATTCCTAACAGCACTTCTGATGCTGAATTTCCAAAGTTGACTTTGAGGAAGACAATGTTTTAAAATGAGGTGCCCCCTAGGCACTTGTAAGTTTCATCTCAGGTCTGTTCAGCCGTAACTTCTAGCACTTTTCACAAGGTTTCTATATATGTTTGCAATTGAATTGCTTATTTTATTTCCATCTTCATTTGATTGTATTCTGCATTTATATGAATGATACTTTGATGAATTATGCAAGCCTTTATTGCTGTCATATTGTCTTTCTGGTAATGTTCCTTGACTACTGTACAAAAACAGAATCAGAGACATTCGTTAATTTATTATTAGATTTTTATTCCACGGTGTTTTTTCCCATTTGTTTATTATTGAGGGTATGCCAGACGAAACAAAAAAGTCCTCACCTGCTGGCAAAAGGCACTGATGGAGGGAGACAGAGGAAGTTCCAAAGTTTTGATTCCATGGCCGAGATGGCCCTTTCTGTTGAAGTTAACTGGTGTGGTTAGTCCAGTCACGATTACTTAGCTACAAACGCAGGAGCGTCACTTTACCAGGTTATTCAGCTTACAAAACTACACAGAGCCACATTGCAAGTTTAGAAGAGAAACAAGAAGGGGGACCCGCGATACTCGTGGGGGGGGGAGAGATGCTCCACGGGAGAAGCAGACGCAGGTGAGCCTTCTCCCCTGTCCCCCGTCCCCATCCCCGGCACCCACGGCGAGGCCTGACCTCGGCCCGCCAAGCTGCCCCCTCCCCTAGCAGCAGCGGCACCGAACTTCCCCCCCCCCGTGGTGGCAGAGCTTCGCCGGCCCGCCGAGCTTTCCCCCTTCCCCCCTCAGCTGCAGTGGCAAGGCCTCGCTGGCCCACCAAACTTTCTCCTCCCCCCGGTGGTGTCAGCGAGGCTTTGCCGGCCCACCAAGCTTTCCCCCTTCCTAGCCCGCCAAAATTTCTCCTTCCCTCCCTCCCTCCTTCTGGTGGAGAGGCCTTGTCAGCCCACCAAACTTTCTCCTTCCTCCCCCGCCGCTGGCGAGGCCTCGCCAGTCGGCCAAGCTTTCTACCCCCTCCCGCCACCAAAACCGTTCCAAGAGCGGTCCCTGCGCATGCGCAGGGGACGCTCTTTTACTTTTGGGGGGATTTCAGTATCCCCCCTATAGTTTTTTACAATTTTTAGATTTTTCTGCACATCTGGGGATCACCCCAGATGTGCAGGAAAATCTCCCTGCCCCCCAGGTGCCCCCGATGTGCGGATTTAGATATCCGCACGCAGGGGGCGCCTTCACTATTAGATATATAGATAATTCTCTCTTTATTTGAGAAGTACACTTTGGATAGGAAAGAGCAGAGATTGATAGATTGGTAACTTACTAGCTAAAGGATGGAAACAGATGGTGAGAGGCCCATCTGCCTCATGGTGCCAAGAGAGGACCGCATCTCCCTCTCTCGGTGTGTGCAGGTACAGGGCACGTCTTCATCCAGAGACAGAGAGAGGAGGAGGAAAGGGGAAATTGATCCCTGAGAACACAAATCTGCATTTCAAAGAGGGCAGTGGCAGAAGAGTAGATACAGGAAGAAAGGTCGGTGTGTGCCTGTCTAGGTATCTAGTCTCTCTTGCCAGTCAATCTGGAAATCTGAGACAGGGGACATCACATCTGGAACTTCTAACCCTTTCTCAGTTCACTACCCCTCTAGCTTTGGATTGCAGGGACAACTGAAGCAGGGCCTCCAAAGATGACCAGAGTATATAGGTTAATGAATAGCAATGAAACAAAACAAAACATGGGGGGGGGGAAGTATACAACATATCTAGCAATGTCCACTGGGTTAGTGGCCAAGGGCTTTCGCTGCAAGTTACAGGCTAAAAACCAAAGGCCTAGAGCCCTTAGACTCTTCCCCGTTGGCTTTTGCCCAAGGGCTCATGCACCTGGCCATGGCTGGACTTCAGACACCTGGAGCGAGAGAAAGAGAAACACTCAGCCTGGATGTTTCAACCTGGCACCCATCTGCCATTATGATGAGGTTGTACTTTTGAAAGACTGATCTGTCAAGTATCCCTTGCGTAGGTGTTTTGGAACAGATGGACAGTTGAGTGGGAATCTGGAGCTTTCTAGTTTCAGAGGGCAGCCATGTTGGTCTGCAATAGAACAAGAAGATTCGAGCCCCAGTAGCATTTTAGAGACCAACAAGATTTCCAGAGTATAAGTTTTGCAAGGGTACCTGTCTGATGAAGGGAGCTTCGACTCTCAAAAGCTTATACCCTGCCCTGCCCTGCCCTGCCCTGGATAGCCCAGGCAAGCTGGATCTCGTCAGATCTTGGAAGCTAAGTAGGGCCGACCCTGGTAAGTGTTTGGATGGGAGACCTCCAAAGAATACCAGGGCAGGGAGGCTACATCAGCCACTTCTCTGAACGTCCTCCATGCCCCAGTAGGAGTTGCCAGAGGTCACCATGGCTTCCAGGCACGGGCACATACACACACTCAAAAATGCAAATAATAATAATAATAATAATAATAATAATAATAATAATAATAATAATAATAATAATAAAGCTTCTACCCCAAAATCTTGTCCGTCTCTAAGGTGCTATTGGACTCAGATCCGAAACTTTCTAGTCATTGATGAATCCTTAAAAAAGAGGCATTTGGTAAAAGGCTTAGCTCTAACTCGTCCATTTTAATTTTTCCCCCCTTCATCGCTTCACTTTGCCCAAGTTAACATTGTGTTGGCCGCTGTCCATCCACGTGCTGTGGAATTGTTGTTGAGAGAGATCAGCCAGAATGTTTGAAATGTCGTGAGCTGTTTCGCATGTTCCGTCATGGCGGACAAGGAGCAAGCGCAACATGCATTTGCAAAAGCCCCATGTTAAGCATCCACAAGATTGTTTGTGTGTGAATGTAAGCAAACTTGTGTATGAGATTCAAGTCCAATAACACTGTAAAGACCAACAAGATTTCCAGGGTTTAAGCTATCGAGTGTCAGCATTCCCTTTGTCAGATACTTCACACTGTGCCTGTGGTTTTGCTGAGACAGGAATTGAGGACTTTGATAAAAGGGGTGTTATAAATTTTTAAGGGGCTTTTCCGCCTTCTCATTTTACTCGCTGGTGAGTTCCTGTTTCTTTGAGGGGGGGTCTGTTCCACCCATGTTTTGCTCCGCCTAGTGGTCAATTCGATATCACACAGGTTTTTCCCCCAGGATATCTCCCTGCAGATTTAAACACGATATGCTGGAAATAAACCAGTGTGATATTGGATTGACCAGTAGAGGGAGCCAAACACACAGAACGGGGGGGGGAAACCCACCCCCAGAACAGGAACTTACCGCCGAGTAAAATGAGAATGCAGAAATACCCAAGGACTGTGATATTTTTTTTTCCTGAATGGGATCGGGAATGGACCAATGCCTAGGAAATGAGGGATGTGGAAAACATGGATTGTCCATTTGGAGGACACAGAGGAACAACCAACACATGACATGGGAAATCCAGGGTCTGGTCTCTTGCATTCTTCTTCGGAGGGGAGGGTCGATGGTGGTTTTGAGGCGGTGTTTAAATCAGGAGACCAGCGCAAGGAAAGGGGTTAAAAAACAACCCTCCAGAGCCGCTGCTTTGATCCATTGCAGAGCCCCTCCCCCCTTGCTTTAAAATAATAAGCTAAAACATCGAGAGAGACCGTTATGGATCCTCCCGCGCCATGTGTCGCTTGACCCAGTGGCGGACAGATTAAGAGCATGTTGGCCGAAGGTGGAACAAAATTCCTGTTTGGGTGCATCTGACGCAGAGTAGTAGAGCCACTGCTGGTTTTGGATCGTTTCGTAGGTTAGCCCTGTTGGTCTGCAGTAGAACACCTAGATTTGAGTCCGTTGACACTTTAGAGACCAAAAAGATGTTGGGGTTATAAACTTCGGGGAGTCAACGCTCCCTTTGCCAGATAAGTCCATCAGGGCTTTGACCCTCAAAAGCTTCTGTCTCCAATATCTTGTTGGTCTCTAAGGGGCTACTGAACTGGAATCCAGCTGCTCTGCAAAAAAAAAAAAGACTCAGACGTCTCCATTCCTACTTGTGTCCGATGAAGGGAGTTTTGACTTCCGAAGGCTCAAACCCTGAAACTCTTGTTGGTCTCCAAGGTGTGCTCCTTGACTCAAATCCAGCCGTGTTTGGAGTGTCTCTATAAAGCAAATATTACAAAGACTCTCCAGTGTTTGCTCTTCGAGACAAATATACACCCAGTGAAGGACTACAACCTCCACCCCGTTTAACGTTTCATTCATGCTTCGGTTGAACTTTCCACGGTGGGGAAGAGAGAGCTGCCCACCCACTGCAAATGCCCTTTCTCTCCTCCTTCCAAGATCAGACAGGGAGGCGCAGTGAGAAGGAACCGATATCACTGTGATAGAATCGTAGAGTTACAAGGGGGCATACAGACCATCTAGTCCAACCCCCTGCCCAGTGCAGGACCAGCCTAAAGCATCTCTGACAAATATTCATCCAGCCTCTTCTTGAAAGCTGTCAGTCAAGGGGAGCTAACTACCTCCCTAGGCTTTTTCAGTTTAGGAAATGGAAAAAGTCGATCTCAAGCTGCGAGGTCCTCTGATGTTCTAGTTTTCTGTTTTGACAGAGTATGTTCTCGGGCCGAAGGGGTTTCCGGGGTTTCCGGGCCCCGGGGGCAGCCAAGGTTACCCAGGGTCACGTGGACTGAAAGGCCAGAAAGGTAAGCTGTGTTTTAGCCCATTGTCTGCTGCAAATTGTCCTGTGGGTTAGAGGCCTGATCTGGGTCACGTCCTCCCACTCATAGCCCGTTCTTCCTAATTAGTGCTCCGTTCTCAGTTCTCTCTGCCAAAAAACTTACGCTACAAGTTTTTCTGCAATAGGTCTTTAGCGGCCCCTCTTTTCTAACTTTTTCCCCACGCATCTTCCTTCATGGCACTTTAAAAAGTCTTTGTCCAGTGGTTCATTGTGGGACAGTCCTCTACGAGTGGGATATAAGCTCCTCCCTCCGTCACAGGGTTGGCTCTGAGCAGTGATCCAGGCAGGGAGGGGCTTGTCCTCCAGAGGCTTCCCCAGTTTCTAACAGTCCTGAAAGGGGGCTATTTAGAGCAGAGAACAGTGGTAGGTGGTCGACCTCAGACCCGTGGCTATGGTGGGGCTTTGGGGGGCTCTGCCCCCTTTCCTAAAGGCACAGCATCATAACAAATTTCTCTAAATGCTTTTTTCTATCATTTTTAAACATTTTTTTAACAGGTGTGTGCTTCTTTAAGCAGAGTGGGGTGCCATAGTTGACTAATTCCCACATTGAGCAAGGGGGTTGGAGTAGGTGACCTCTAGAATACCTTCTAACTCTGTGTCAAGAAACTGGTCTCCTTTAAGAGAGTTTTTCTGCCTAAGTGTTAGCTTTCTTGACCCTAGAAGTCATCACACACACACACACCTGCCAGCTTGTTCTCAGAATTGTTGCTTAGGCTGGCAGAAGTGATTAACTTGCAGCAGCTGAGAACTGTCTTCTAAAGTGGTTGACTCACGTGTTTTTGAGTTCAATGTGTGATTGAATCCAAAGGATGTTCTTCTGGGCAGAGCCACAGCATGCAAAGGACAGGCTGAGCTCTGCCCCTTTTCCATAGAAAAACTCTTTTGCTGTGTTCCATGGGATGCAACAATACGGGAACAGTGGCGTTTGCTGCTTTTCAGTCAGTGTATCCTTGTGTGAATGTGTGGGTTTTTTTACCTCTAAGGAAAAGGTGGGACGTGTATTTTTCCCTACACAGGCGAGCCAGGGGATTGTCGATGCGGATCTGATGAAGGAAGAAGGGGCCCAGCTGGGCAACCGGGTCCCCCAGGTTTTCCAGGCCCCATTGGACAACTTGGGAGAAAGGGAGAAGTCGGTGATCAAGGCCAGCATGGAATTCCTGGATTTTCCGGTGCAAAAGTACGATAGTTTTGCGATACGTTCCCATTTTCCATATTATTTCCATACTATCTAAGCACATATAAGGAGGCGTCACACATAAAAAGAATAACAAAATTCTTGTTTGTTGCATGGCCACATTTTACGAAACAGGGATTCACTCCTGGATTGGGTTCCGTTTTCTCTCATTTAAAAACTCAAGTGCCTTCCCTGTAAACAGGGCTCAGGGCGGTGTGGATGTACAACGATAAATAAAACAACCATGATTATAGTAAATAATCAGACTAAATTAAGATTGAAACATTAATAATACAGTAAACTCAACTTAATTAATGGCAGTCGGAGCTTCTAATGGTGCCACCCCCTTGCGGGGGGAGAGGCAAGGGGTAAGAGGTAAGAATGCCAGCCAGATGGATGCCATCGCTGTCCTTAACCAAATGCCTGGCAGAACCTCTCTGCCTCGCAGACGATCCTCTTGTGTCAGCGGAAGGCTCCTCTGCTCAGTAGAAGGTGCCACCGTTAGTGGGACAAATCCACAGGGTCTGACCCATGGCTTCCCCTTTACATCTGCAGAAATGTTCTTCATGTAATGTCCCGGGTTCAATCCCCGGCAGCTCCAGTTTAAAGGATGAGGCAGTAGGTGATGCAAAAGGCCTTCGACTGAGCCCCTGGAGAGACGCTCCCATCTGAACTGACAATACTGGGTGGGCCGAGGGTCTGATTTAGTATAAGGCAGCTTCATGTCTTTCCTTGATGAGAAGACTAAACTTTTTAAATAGCAGTTAGACATATATAATATGTAGCAATATTTTCATTTCCCCACTACGCTCTGGAAATCATCACTAATAAATTCACATGAAGAAAAAGGGAATCCTGTGATCTGGTGGTGTGGAGCACTCAGTTTCTCCAAGCCTTCATATCTCAAGCTGGCATCTGGCAAGCTGATGCTCCCGGAAGAGGTCTCGAAGGTCAGCCACACGACTGAGAACAGAGTCTGAAGCTGACCATTATCCACTTCATCAAGTTCCTTTGCCATTCTCTGCTTCATTTGCTTGACCTGTTAGAGCATACCTTGTACTGTTGAGAATTGCAGAGCTCGCCCATATATGGATGACACAGAAGAGAAAGAAAATCCTGCCACAAAGTCCTAGATACATTCAGCGTTTGACATCCTGCCATGAAGTCCTAGATACATTCAGCGTTTTACATCCTGCCATAAAGTCCTAGATACATTCAGCATTTTAGATCCTGCTATGAAGTCCCAGATACATTCAGCATTTTACATATATTTTACATCCCTCTGAGTGCAGCAGAGCTTCTCTCTTTCTCTCCCCCCCTTCCTCTGCCTCTCTCTCTCCTTTCTCCCTCTCCCTCCCTCCCTCCCTCCCTCCCTTTGTCCCTCTCCTTCTCCCATACACACACATATTATAAATCTGTACAGAACTGGAAAATAGTTATCCCTCTTTTGCCTCTGAACATTTGTTTCCAAGCATTGTGTGTGCTAGTTCATGCCACCAATCCCTGCCCTTAGCAAATGAAACAGAAAGGATCTTCATTTGTTTCACCTGTTACTCGGCTGACTGCTAGACTTGGGTCCAGTAGTATCTTGGAGACCAACAAAAGTTTCGAGGTATAAGCTTTTGAGAGAGTCAAAACTGCCTTCATCAGTTTCACGACACTTGTCTCAGATAATAGGAGCTTTGGCTCTCAAAAGCTTGTACCGTGGAAATCTTGCTGGTCTCTGTAATGCTATTGGACTCAAATCTAGCTCTTCTGCAGACCATCATGGTTGCCCTTTGGAACTAGGTTGACCGCAATTAACTTGATTCTTTTAACACAAATAGGGGCTCTCAGGACTTCCTGGACTGCCTGGACCACCAGGGCCAAAAGGGGATGCCCGATACGTAACCGAAAAAGGTACAACCAGCAATCATTTTTCTTCTGAATGTTGCATGGATTGTAGTGTTATATAGCTTGTATCTGACTGAAGGTTGTTGGGTTTTTTTCCACCAGGTGTCAAAGGAGACCCAGGAATCCCTGGGTTTCCTGGAGTGAAAGGAGACAATGGTTTACCAGGCAGAGATGGAAAAGATGGTTTGCCTGGACTTCCGGGGCTTCCTGTAAGTAACCATGGCAGGTTTCACATGGGGGGGGTCCCACGGTGCTTGCTGCTGCCGCCCCCTGCCAGTCCTCCTCCTTTCCCCCATCACATCTACACAAAATCAAAAATGTGGTATCAGTTTTGCCCCCTCCTGGATCCTGGACGCCCCCCTTTCCTGCCAGACTACTATGTAACACTACAGCGTGGCCTACATGGGTAAAGTAAAAGGCCCTTTAAAGGGTTTGGGTGGGTTGAAGCTTAGTTCTACCATTCCAGAGCTTAGCTCCATTCGCCTCTCCATAGGTGGAGAATGCTTCACCCTCAGCTGCCCCACATTTTCCCCTTTGAACCGTATCATACAAAGGGTTTTTTTCAGCTCAGAGGGGGAAAATATGGGAGCCAGATGTGTCATGCCCAAAGTAGGCACAATCTCATCTGGATGCGCCCAGATCTGACAGGGACTTCCCGTTGCTCATGCAGGGAAAAATCCCCACGTGGAAACAACTCTTCGCTACGCCAGTTTTATCCTTTAGGAGATCCTTCTTTTAATTCATCACATCACACCATTCATTCTTGGTGCATTCTTGCATAGTACATTTTGCCCGCCATTCCAGTGCGGACGATCAGCCATTGGTTGTGGGGGCTGAAAAGCTTTCCAGGATTTGGTTGGACAGACACAGAGTATTGTACAGCTTCACTCTTGCCTAGGATTCCTGGACCTTAGGCTTGTCCACTGTTCACCCTAAACTTTAAGCATTCCCTCTTAGGGAGCATTTGCTTCACTTTCTAGGACCTACAACTGGTGTCCAGGCTTTAGTAAACAGCATGCTGCCCATGCAGGGGAAAATCCCCATGTAGAAACCACTCTTTGCTATGCCAGTTTATCCTTCAGGAGATCATCATTCATTCGCGGTGCATTCTTGCATAGTACATTTTGCCTGCCGTTCCAGTGGGAACAATCAGCTATTGGTTGTAGGGGCTGAAAAGCTTTCGAGGATTTGTTTGGCCAGACACAGAGTATTGTACAGCTTCTGTCTTGTCAAAGATTCCTGGATCTTAGGCTTGTCCACTGTTTGTCCTAAATCTTAAGTGTTGCCTCTTAGGGAGCATTTGCTTCACTCTCTAGGATGTATGACTGGTGTCCGGGCTTCAGGAAACAGCAGCCGCAGCCTGTCATTTTACATTGCTAGCTCCTTTGGGGGTTTTCATGGAGATCGTGTCTAACCTGTAATATATATTAGCTTTATCAGCTAGTTGGCAAATGTGTATTTTGAGCCAATGTAAGGTGACCTTTGGTGGCATCACTAGAAATCACAGTCCCCCCCCCACCAGTGGTGAGACTTCATTCCCCACCACCATCCTTCCACCTGCAGTCATGGAGGTTCTTTACCAATGCTCCCTCTAAGCTCTGCAGTCTTGTGAGCTACAATTCTACTTTGTGAGTTCCTGGCATTAAAGTTGTGAGCAAGCGATTTGTCTGCTGCATAAACTAGTTTGCTCTGGAGCCATCCTTCCTGAGCTAAGACAGAAATGTCTTACTGTCTCACTGTCTTACTGTCTTAATGTCTCACTGTCTTACTGTCTTAATGTCTCACTGTCTTACTGTCTTAATGTCTCACTGACTCAGCTTAGAGGGAACACTGTCTTTACCCTTTTTTAAATAACTTTTTTACTGTTTTTATACTACACACTACAAAGAAACAAAGGGTGGGTAAACACTAACAAACTACAGGAGATAGAAAAGTATAAACTAAAAGAAAAGCTAAACAGGAGTTATGTATATTGCTGATAATATACGCTTATTCAAGTTTCTCTTAATATATCATACATGAGTGAAGTTTCTTTTCTGCTTAAAAGAAAAAATGAAAGATTAAAATATATATATTTGTTCTGAGCAAGTGAATATAGTATCTAACCCTTCTGATTAATACATATCAATTACATTCGCTTTTTGTTCTTTCTTCCCTTCTTTTTATCTTTATCAAAGTCATCTTTTGGTTTTGGGAGCTTGGGTGCTGCTTCTCCCAATTCAGATGGAAAGTCTTCTTCAGATGATCTGGTTGTTTCAGATCCTGAACTTTTCGAACCACATGGGCTGTATTCTCCTTCTTCTTGATGACTCTTCTCTTCCTCTGTTGGAGTTTTCCTTGTACCTTCTCCAGAAACCGTTTTGCTTTATCAACAGAGTCAATCTTTTCTTTTAAATCCTTGTACTTTAATGTTAATCCTTCCGGTAGAAGCCATCTGTAGTTTATAGTGTAGTCTTTACAGTGTCTTCGCTTCTTTCTGATTTCAAACGGCACATCCTTTAGAACTCTTATTTCCGCATCTTTAAAGTGTTCCCATTAGTAGCTTTGAGGACCGCGTCTCTTGTAGACCTTTTAGAGAATCTGACCATAATTTTCCCAGGCAGGTTTTTCTTCTTTATAAATTCAGGATATGATCTGTAGACCACATCAAGATCGTTTAATAACTCTTCAAACTTCATACCTGTCATCGACGATAATGCTTGAGTCAAGATTTCTTTAAGATTCTCACTGCTTTGTTCAGGAACACCTTGGAACCTCAGCACATAAGCTGATTCTTCTGCTTGAAGCCTAAGGATTTGTTCTTTATCAGAGGCTCTCTCTTTTTGTAGTTGATCCACTCTTTGATCAAGTGCAGATGTTTTGAAAACAACTTTTCTGACTGCATTAGAGTTCTTTAACATCTGTTTTTGAAGTGTTTCAAAATTTTGGTTGAGATTTGTCATCTGGTCCAGTAGGGGTCGCAATGCTACAGCCAACGTGGCTGAAAAGTCTGTGGTAGCTTCCGGTTTCGAACCCAGAGATGATGTTTGCCACCACCTGAAGGAGGTCTCCTCAGCGCCATTTTGTCTTGTCGACTCATTGTTTACTTTCCCGGGAAGTTTACAGAAGTTCAGAAAAGGAGTTATCGTTATTCGCTTTATGTAGCAATGCGCTTGCTCGTTCAAATAACGTTTTTCCAGAATCTTTCCCCCGTTTTGGTAAGGCTTTTATTTAAAGTCTTGTTTTGTTGGGAGGGGATACTCCTCCCTTCCGCTATCGCTGGTGGGGGGGGTGTCAGAGCCCATTGAAAAGTTCATGCGCTTAATGTAAGGTCACTCAAGTTTTTTTCCGGTATCGTTTATATGTCGAGATAGCTTGCATTCTCGCTGATACTCCTGAGCGCTCGCCCAGTGTGCACCTCTAGAAGCCATGATGGCACCGCGGTAGCAGGACGTTTGGGGCAAAGAGTGCCTCAATTCCTTGGCATCGCGCCTTGGGAGTGGCACTACTCGAGGCCCGCTGGCTTGGAGCTCTCACCAAGAGCTCCGGGGGGAGCCGGCAACGGTCGGCTCCCCTCCTATCCGCCATGGAACGAGGCGCCCCATATGGAGCACCATTAGAGCGCGGCCGTCAGGCGAAGCAAAAACCGGAAAACCCTGTCTTTACTCTTTTTGATGCTTGGAGAAGATGATGGCTCTGAGCCTCAAACAAAGCTCCTTCTCTGAGATCCACCACCAGGCCTGACAGCCATCGACTTAAAGGTCATATCAGGCCTGTAGCTACAGTGGAGCTTTTGGGGGCTCTACCCCGTTTCTTAAAGACACAGCCCCACAAGAATTTCTCCCGTTAATGCTTTTTAAAATCATTTAAAAACATTTTTGAAAGGTATGCGGTCCTTTAAGCAGAGTGGGGTGCTATAGTTGCCTAATTCCCGCACTCAGCAAGGGGGTTGGTGTAGGTGACCTCTAGGATCCCTTCTAACTCTGTGTCAAGAAACGGGTCTCCTTTAAGAGAGTTTTTCTGCCTAAGGTGTTAGCTTTCTGGACTACAGAAGTTAAGTCATCACCCCCACCTGCCAGCTTGTTCTCAGAATTGTTGCTTAGGCTGGTGGAAGTGATTAACTTGCAGCAGCTGAGAACTGTCCTCTAAAGTGGTGAACAGCTTGCAATTTAGGGAGCTATCCTGGTAACAGCTTTCTTTTGGCTAAACAGTTAATAAGCTAAGGGCCATTGCTAGCATGAACTCCTCTGTAAAACAGATAGCTTGAGAAGAATCAGAAAGAGAAGAGTAGTTGAGATGTATTCCTCAGAATTTCTGCTTTTCTTTCTGCACTGAGAACTTCAGCCCCACAAGCAACAAAATCCTGGCTACGGGCCTGGGGCCTATGCTGCTGGGTCCAAAGCACCACCATGGCCACCTGGAGAAATCCGTCCCCCCATCCTCAGGGTCTAAGACCTCTCATCTCTCCCATACAGTTTCCTCTTTTGTTATAGTCAGTGGACACAATAAACAGAGAAATTGCTTCTTTTTCTGGAATGATAAGCAGGAAAACAACAGACCTTCAGTACAGTGGCCCTCTTTGGAATCCACTAGCCGGGGTACCCCAAAAAGCAATGCAAAGGAAACAGGTTGGCAGCCCGCTCGACCTGGCCACATTAAGGGCATGCAGATTTCTAGAAAGACCAGTCAGCTGCCTCCACTGAATGGCAAGAGGCCTTCTGCTGTCCTGTGCCTGATTGCCAGGGCGAGGGAAGCTAGATTGACCTCGGTTCAGAGCTCAGAACAGCTCCGTAGTACAAATGGATAGACGAGCTTCATGTAAGCAGGTGGCTTTAATATTTCTGCTCTCTTACAGGGCGATGGTGTAAGAGGTGCCTTAGGGGATGCTGGTGAGCCAGGACTGCCTGGCCCGAAGGGCTTTCCAGGTGAAGCAGGCCTGCCTGGCATTAGCTTGCCAGGCCCCCAAGGGTATCCCGGTGCTCCAGGTGACCCCGGGGCGCATGGGAATCCTGGTTTGCAAGGCCCTCCAGGTCCCCCAGGGACTCCTGCTCAAATAGGTATGTGCGCACATTCTAATAGTAACAGCTGTTGAATCACAAGCTCCTTCCTTCCTTCCTTCCTTCCTTCCTTCCTTCCTTCCTTCCTTCCTTCCTTCCTTCCTTCCTTCCCCAGTGTATCACCAGTCAGTTAAAAAACCAAAACAAGGTTTCCCCATTGTAGCATCGAGAGCTGCATTGCGTGGAAACGGAGGTAGGTTCGTGGCAACCCTTTGAAGCACTGCTTCCTCCGGAAGCCCCCAGACTGTCAGCTCTTCAGCTCTGAAGTTGCCTCTAATAATTCTGGGCATGGGCAACTTCCTGGAGCAGTGCTTACATTTTTTTTAACTTGAGCCCATTTCCCATTGCTGGGGACGGTTTTGGGAATCGTGTTTGATTGAACACGTAATTAGAAGTCGTTTGTTGGAGTCGTGTGATAACACACATCACAGACCTCAGAGAAGATTTTCCTGGAGCAGCCTTGTCCCCCAGGGACTCCTGCTCAAATAGGTATGTGCGCACATTCTAATAGTAACAGCTGTTGAATCACAAGCTCCTTCCTTCCTTCCTTCCTTCCTTCCTTCCTTCCTTCCTTCCTTCCTTCCCCAGTGTATCACCAGTCAGTTAAAAAACCAAAGCAAGGTTTCCCCATTGTAGCATCGAGAGCTGCATTGCGTGGAAACGGAGGTAGGTTCGTGGCAACCCTTTGAAGCACTGCTTCCTCCGGAAGCCCCCAGACTGTCAGCTCTTCAGCTCTGAAGTTGCCTCTAATAATTCTGGGCATGGGCAACTTCCTGGAGCAGTGCTTACATTTTTTTTAACTTGAGCCCATTTCCCATTGCTGGGGACGGTTTTGGGAATCGTGTTTGATTGAACACGTAATTAGAAGTCGTTTGTTGGAGTCGTGTGATAACACACATCACAGACCTCAGAGAAGATTTTCCTGGAGCAGCCTTGTTTAATTTCAAAGGATCACCACAGGCTTCGTGAATGGTTCAAAATCTGGCCATGGTTTGAGAAGTCTGGATCCTCTTGTTTTGTTTGTTATAATGGAAATGGCCTGGGTCCGGAATAGCGAAAGGACTGTTGGCTCTCCTAGGAACTTGCCCAAGAATAAAAGCATTCTACAGAGGGTGCTTCTCTTCGGGGGTCCCCATCGGAAGTGAGATGTATGGGCACCAACCCACACATTTCCATAGCTGTCCACTTCGAACCTGGGCCTTCATAGCTTTAGGTTAATTTAATTTAATTTAATTTAATTTAACTTTCCACTTGCTATACCGCCCTAACCCCTAGGGGTCTCTGGGCGGTTTACATCTGTAATGGTTCTAGTAACCCTTCGTCCCTAACTTGGGCCACACATGATAGGGGTGGGGAAGCCTACCGGCACCCTAGTTGGAGGGCCTCGTTGTTACTCCGGCGTGGTTGTTTCTTCCCGGCGATCTCTCTTGGCATTCCTCCCGGCAACTGTTGATTGGCGGGACTGCGCAGGCGCCCGACTTTCACACTTGCTTCCTGGCTCAGGCTTCGTCCAGTCAGGCTCCGCCTCGCCCAGCGTTGCGCGTCATCGGGCGCCTCCCAGTCTCTCGCCTCCGTCGCCGTTTTATCCAAGTTTTTGATGATCCTTGAATTTTTCTGTACTGTATGCTGACTTCATTTATTATATATTCATTGGATTTTCTGCTTTGTATGTTTTACTGTTTCACGAATCTGATTATTTATGCACTGCAAATTAATATGATTTTCCTGGAAGCTTGCAGCTGAGAGGTGGCATAGAAATTCTATAAAAATAATCCCCCCCTCCCCTTTTAACTTCCTTCAAGATTGTGGACAAACAGTGCAGACGTTTTTCCCCGGCAACAGGACAGGACAACAGGAAGCACAATGGCCAGGTAAAATAAACGTAACAAAATTATTTTTAAATTCGTGAGAGGTTAAACAAAATGAAACCAGCGCTTCTAAACAGCTGGGCTGAGAAAGCAAGATTTGCCTACCTAGCTGGGCTGTAATTTCACAAAACAGGATTTGGCTTAATAAAATGTATTACTGTATTAAAAATTCTGATGAAGAGAATTCTGTAGTTTCTTTTTTTCTTATTGATGCGGATCAGGGGTCGTTTCGTAGAAAAAGAGCTAGGGGGACTCATTAGCATAACTCATTAGCATATGCCACACCCCCTGACATCACCTGAAGTGTGTCATAAGGCCACACACCCCGCCCCCATGAGGGGCCCGGCGGTGGACCTGCAAGGCCGGCAGGAGTGCAAGGAAGCCCCGCGAAGGCCCTCCCTGGCCCCAGGCAGGCAGGGGTGGGGAGAGGCAGGGAGGAAGCAACTTGCCCTCCCTCTTCTCCTGCCTCCTCCTGGCTGAATGAGGGCCGGAAGCGGGGCGGCTGGAAGCAGGGGGCGGGACTTCGTCATGTGCCCCGCCCCCCTACCTCACTCAGGGGAGCTGCGACCCCCCCCGAAATGACCTCTGATGCGGATACATGAAAGGGTTGGCTTCTGTTTCCAGTTTAGAGAATTTCCGAGGATAGCTGAGTTGGTCTGCAGTAGACCAGGTAGATTCAAATCCAGTACCACTTAAGAGACCAACAGGATTTTTAGAGTCAAGAGTCAAAACTCTTAACGAGTTCCTGACGAAGGGAGCTTTGACTTCTGAAAACATATACCCTAAAAATCTCATTGGTCTCTCAGGTGCTACTGAACTCGAATCTGGTTTGAGAGAATGTCATCGCTTTAAAGCTTAGGAGAGAATTATTCTGTTCCCAGATAGCCTCTTGCCTTCCCCTTCTGTATGTCCCTCCATATTCCACGTGCCCCTACTGCCAATGCATACCAGGCCTTGTGGCACACTGGACCATATGGCCTTATGCTTTACGACAGCATTCTTACTGAGCAGTGGGTTCATGTTCATTTACCAGATCCACTCAGTCCGTGCCATTTCTCTCTCTAGGTGCCGGCTGCCCTACGGCCCCCAAAGGAGCTCCAGGAAGTCCGGGGTTACCAGGACCAAGAGGTAAAATCCTCCCTTCATTTGGAGTTTGTCTTGTTCACCACTGTGGGCACAGCTAGATGGGATGCTGTCCCTGGGTTCACCCCACTCTGTTTTCTTCACTGGTTGAGGTTTGTTAGCTGGTTTTGCAGCACAGGGCCTTTTCAGTGGTAGCATCAAGGTCACAGAACGTCCGCCCCAGAAATGCCCATCTTTTCCCCTCCCTGCTGCTTTTCAGACATCAAGTTTCAGACAGGTTTTATATGAGAGAACTTTTAGGCTCGGTTGATCAGTGGTATACTGATAGCTGAATGATGGTTGTTGAATCTTCCTTTCTACATTCTGGAGGGTTTTTTGTTTGCTTGCTTGCTTGTTGTTTGTTGTTCACGTACTTGTTGGTTGGTTTATTTACTACATTGTTTTTTATGGTTTCCAAGTTTTGTGGACCTGTGTGGACAAAAAAGGGGGGAACAAATATCATAAATATCAAAAAGCCGAAGGTATAAATAAATAAATACAATTCTTGTGTTATTTAAACGTTCCATAACAATAAATGTGGTTATATTTAGCTGTGTAGAGCAGCACTGGAGTAACAGTGATTCATTTGGCAGTAAATTCTTATTGCCTATTTCTTATAGTAATGATCTAAACCTAAACTCGGGATAATAATTATAATTATTGTATGGTGTTGTGTGTAGACTAGCCAGGAGATCCTAAGATTTTCTGGCAGTCCAAAGTTCTAGCTTTTTTCGCGTCATGCACCACTAGGTGGCAGTATAGACTTGTTTTTTAAGGCAAGAGACTTTTCAAAGGTGGTTTGCCATTGTCTGCCTCCGTACTCCTTGGAGGTCTCCCATCTGAATACTAGCCAAGGCTGACCCTGCTTAGCTTCTGAGATCTGATGAGATCAGGCTAGCCTGGACTATCCAGGTCAGGGCTTAAACTCTGGTTAATGCAACTTAACACATTCTGGGTTTAGAGTTATATCCTTCCCTCCCAGTCAGCCAATTTGGTGTAATGGTTAGGAGCGTGGACTCTAATCTGGGAGAACCGGGTTCGATTCCCCACTCCTCCACATGCAGCCTGCTCGGTGACCCTGGGCAAGCCACAGTTCTCTCAGAGCTGTTCTCTCGAGAGCAGTTCTCAGTCAGAGGTCTCTCAGCCCCACCTACCTCACAGGGTTTCGGTTGTGGGGAGAGGAAGGGAAAGGAGATTGTAAGCCGCTCTGAGGCTCCGAGTGAAGGCGGGGTATAAATCCAATCTCTTCTTCTACCCACAAAACTCACACCTGCCTGTGTGTCCTTCCCATCTGCTCACAGACCTTCCCACCCTCATGATCACAGCCCTTTCCTCAGTGGCACTGGCAACATGGGTGGTGGAGTGCTAGCAAGGGAGTGGGGGGAGGTCGGCAGCATTGGGCCCTGCTAGAAGCCCTGGGACCTGGCAGCTACCTCACCTCAGAGTATACCAACCCCAGTCCTCAGTAGAATGACAGTTCCTTGGACACTGGGGGGGGGGCCCTCTCTGGTAACTCTTCTGAGGAGAAGAGGTCTTCACTATCCCGATGGCCAAACCGTTATGTATGTATGTGTTCATCTTTTAAAAATCTGCCTCTAACGTAGTCTCTTACCTCCAAAAATGTAGGTGCAGTTGGTGCAAAGGGGGTCCCAGGAGACTTTGGTCTGAATGGGCTCAAGGGGGTAACAGGCTTCCAAGGGGACCGAGGCCCCGAAGGTGTCGCAGGCCCCCCAGGTATTGCAAAACCCAAGACGTAATTTCACATCTAGGCAAATGAAGGTCTTGTTTAGTTTTATTTACGTATTGTAAATTGTATTACGTATCTCTGTGCTTTTTTAAAAAAAAAAGTGCCTGAAGAGATGTACAGTTAAAAGAGAGGCCTTGAGCATATAGATATTGGCTGTGATCCAATAACTGATGTTTGTGCAGAGTTGTACATGGGTAAGGGCTTTCCTTCTACGGCCAGTTATTGTCTGTTCCAGATAAATGAGTGGAAATTGCTATAAAAGATGGAATTCTTAAGTAGAGGAACAAAGCCTGTAGATGGGAAATCAGCATGGCTTCTGCAAAAGAAAGTCCTGCCTCACTAACGATTTTGGAGTTCTTTGGGAAGGATACCAAGCATGTAGGTTAGAGCAATCCAGAAGATATACATGCATGGACTTCCAAAAGGCTTTTGGCAGTGTTGCAAAGGGGTAGTCATGTTAGTTAGGAAAATAAACCAAAAGTCCATTGACACCTTAACAACATTTATTTCACTATGAGCTGTCGTGCATCACAGTCCACTTCATCAGATAAATACATGAAGGAAAATAGCAGTAAGAAACCCTATGGGGAAGGTTGAGGAGGAGTCGTCAAGGGTTGGTATGAATTACATGGAACTCACATGGGATTCATACTTATCCTTTCTACTTCAGCTCCTTTATTTTTCCTCTATGTTGTGGTTTACACTTGAAAGACTGATGGCCCAGGCTGTGGCGCGGACTCATTTGGAATGTTGTGTGCATTTGTGGTCACCGTATCTCAAAAAGTACATTTGCAGAGCTGAAAAAAGTACCACGGAGAGCAAGCTAGGTGATTAAGGGGTTAGAGCACTTTTCCTATGAGGAAAGGCAAAAGAGCCGGGGACGTTTCAGTTTCAGAAACAGATGACCGGAGAGGGACATCGTAGAGGTTTATAAAATCATGACGAAAAAGAACCTCCATATCCAGAGGCAGTTGACTCCAGTACCAGAGCTAATTAGAAACATCAAACATCAGGCCCTTGTGCCATGTTTATTGGCCATCCAGAGCAAATGTTTAGCCATTGTGTGAAACAGAATTGGAGATCTTAGAGCTCCGCAATTAAGAAGGATACATTTACACATCTATCTCCAATTTTGACATGTTTGTTTGCTTCACTGTTTCCCCCCGGGATTAAATCCAAACAATGGTGACCTTATGAATTTAGCTTGTTATCCCTGTTAAAACAGATGTTATGTTGTATGCTTATTTGCTGTTCTACCTCTGCCATATATGTGTGGACTGGAAATTCCATTTCACTGTATCTGAGGAAGTGTGTGTGCACACAAAAGCCCATGCCTTGAATAAAACTGTGTTGGTCCTAAAGGTACCACTGAACTCAGACTTTGTTCTATTACTCTGATGATGTTAGCCTTTCGTAATTTTTCCCCCTAATTATTTTTATTAAAGATTACTGTCATCAATCACAGTTCAGTGAACACACACATAAATCTGCCTTATATTGAATCAGACCCTTGGTCCATCAAAGTTAGTACTGTCTACTTAGACCAGCAGTGGTTCTCCGGGGTCTCAGGCAGAGGACTTTCACATCATCAGCTGCCTGGTCCATTTATTGGGAGATGCTAGGGATTGAACCTGGGACCTTTTGCATGCAAAGCTCAGGTTCTTCCACTGAGCCGCAGCAGGCCCCCCCCCCATTTAGAATGTATTAAATATGGCTATAGCAAATATCTTGTTCTACTCAGAATGGTCATTCTGCTCTGTTTAGGATTCACTGGGCCCAGAGGAAGTCAAGGTTTACCAGGATTACCTGGGGCTAAAGGTTTTCCAGGTAGTCCTGGTTTCTCAGGTTTGCCTGGTACACCAGGAGCAAAAGGCATCACAGGAGATATCCTAGGAGCACAGCCAGGCTTCCCAGGAGATGCTGGACAACCTGGATCCCCAGGACAACGAGGCCCCCAAGGAGACCAAGGTGTACCAGGATTTAGAGGTAATTCTTGGTTTGGCTAATGGGACAGTTGAAGAACTGGAACGGCATGAACGCAGTCTAGCATACTTCACGGCTTTCTCAGAAAGCGCTCATGTTTGATCTCTGCCTCCCCGTTTTGGCCTGCGACAAACCCCTTCGCCTCCAGGCTAATAAAACTAGGATCTGTAGTTTAGACTTGCAGATTCTCGCAGCCTCGGAAGGAGTTGGGTGGCAGTGAGGATGGTCCGCCCCTGGAGGCTGATAGATCTAAAGGGCTCCCTGATGTCTCTTTGGGATTTTCCAGTAAGCAAGATTGACGCCCCTGTCACAGCCCTGGTTGACCTGTGCAATACAAAGATGACCTGGATGGTGGACATGATTGCTCCGGAGTGCCCTCTTCCCTCTTGCAGAATTCGTAACAGGCTCGTAGCTACGGTGGGGCTTTTGGGGGCTCCGTTCCCTTTCTTAAAGGCACAGCCCCACAAGAAGGCGTGTGCTCCTTTAAGCAGTGGGGTGCTGTAGTTGACTACTTCCCGCACTGAGCAAGTGGGTTGGAGGAGGTGACCTCTAGGCAGGGGTCATTTCGTAGAAAAAGAGCTAGGGGAACTCATTAGCATAACTCATTAGCATATGCCACACCCCCTGACATCAGGGGCCCGGCGGTGGACCTGCAAGGCCAGCGGGAGTGCGAGGAAGCCCCGCCAAGGCCCTCCCTGGCCCCAGGCAGGCAGAGGTGGGGAGAGGTGGGGAGGAAGCAACTTACCCTCCCTCTTCTCCTGCCTCCTCCTGGCTGAATGAGGGCTGGAAGCGGGGTGGCCGGAAGCAGGGGGCGGGGCTTCGTCATGTGCCCCGCCCCCCTGCACCTCAGGCCTGAGGTTTGGGATGGAGGCTGCCTCGGTTGCCGTGACTGACAGTCGTCACCAGGAAAATGATGGGGATATTGTCCATTCTGCCAGCATTTGGGGGGGGGGGGTTTACCCATAATACTTGTAGGAAAAATAATTCCGCTAAGAATTCAAGGCTCAAGAAGCTGGGGCGTAGCCAGGAATTTCTGGGTGGTGGGGCAGGGGAGCGTTGGTGGCAGCGGACCGCCTTGACCACTCTCCTCCACCCAGTGCCGTGGCCGCAGGAGAGCATATCTGGCAGGCGGGGAGTCGCCTCTCCTCCCTCCGTGCCTCTAACCCACCAGCTGCCTTTTGGGCACGCACCTCCAGCTGCGCGCCTCTCTTCCCTCTCCTCCTTCCCCTTCCTCCCTCCTCCAGACACACGCCTCTCCTCCCTCCCTGCCTCCAGCCTGCCAGCTGCCCCTTTGGGCAGTGCACTCGTCCCTGCGGGCGGCCATTCCCGGTGCGGCACAAGACTCCCACAGCTTAGAGGGAGCATTGGACACAAACTCTGCTTTTCATCTTCTGACTAAGGAGGAGATACCTAGCTTCCATTTCCGTGGCCTTAAGAGTCACTGTAATTGTTTTCAGATTGTTATTGTTGATGACCTCTTTTATATTTGTTGGTAGGCACCGATGGGTTTCCAGGCTCACCTGGAATCAAAGGAGGGCGTGGGTTTCCAGGGTCTCCAGGCTTGTCGGGTAGGCCAGGACCACCGGGTTCATTTGGATTCCCTGGAATGCCGGGCCCGCAAGGAACCGGAGGAAGAATGGGTTCACAGGGATTTCTTGGTGAGAAATCATTCCCAAATTTGATTTCCTTTACTCTTTGTCTGTGTAGCTTAAGCATTTTGCTAAGAAAGGAGAACATTGTGTGTAAGTCACCAGCCAGAGTTTCATTCTTCAGTCTCCCTGTCAGTTCTTTATATTTATGCAGAGATAAGCTATCTTTAATTGTAATTCTTCAAGCATAAAGTTGCCCGGGGTTCCCAACATGATACACGTGGACGCAATGGCACCCCACCGTGTTTGGTGTACTGGTTAAGAGCGGCAAACTCTAATCTGGAGAATGGGATTTGATTCCCCGCTCCTCCTCCACATGCAGCCAGCTGGTTGGCCTTGGGTTAGTCACAGTTCCCTCAGAACTGTTCTCTCAAGAGCAGTTCTCTCAGAGCTCTCTCAGCCCCATCCACCTCACAGGGTGTCTGTTGTGGGGAGAAGAAAAGAAGGAGATTGTAAGCTGCTCTGAGACTCTGAGTGAAAGGCAGGGTATAAATCCAACTCTTCTTCTTCTTCAGTACCTTTCCTGGTGCCCACCAAGTGTTTTGAGAAAGTGAGTAAGGCCAGGTGGAGCTATGAACCATTTGAGATATTATTGGCTGTGTCAATTTTTTAAAGTTGTTTTGGTGGCAGCTACCACCGTAACGCAAGGATCCTAATGCTATAACTGAAGATAAGCTGTGGCAGCCATTTTGTGGCTGGCTGCACCTACTGTGGGGGCCATTTTGTGGCTGTGCCCACCACACTGTATCAGAATTCCAAAGGTGGCTGAAAAATGATGGTCACAGTCACAGAACAGACCAAAAAAAGAAGAAACTGTGAGGTAACTGTGCTAGAAAATAGAAAGAGAATGCCTTATACAACCACTTTACCCTAGGAACATTCTTTCAGAGAATCTCTTGCAACTATGTTATGATACATTGGTGAAAATAATGAAATTGTTACTACATACCTATTGAAATAACAGACCGAGAGTCGCTGCTTTCATCCACATTCGGAAGAAGAATAGTATCGAAACGGTAGAACATTCCGGAGATCATCATCAATTTCACCATTTTCAACTGCCTTTGTGCATTTATATATGCAGATTTTGGTACACATTTTTGTATAAATTTTGTGATTGTTATTTAAATATTTTCTAGTGCAGTTACCTCACAGTTTCTTCTTTTTTCGGCCAGAACTCCAAAGGTGCCAACAGGCTCAAAAGGGTTGGGGACCCCTAGAGTAGCCATTATCCACGTAATATTGCCAATATGTGATTCACTGCTGATCCTTTGAACACTAGTAGAGATGTTTCTGTGGAATGTAGTGTGCTGGTGCTTGTAAAATGTTGCATGAGATATATTATTCACATGTTTTGTAACTGGTATGGTAGCCACTGAAAAATGTTCCTGTGCGCTAGTAGGTAGCTTCAGCATTCGTGTACTGCCTGCTGTGTGTCTTGGCCCAGCTTTATGGAACATGATGATGGATAGCCCACACAAGGTCTTCAGTCAGAGCACTCAACCTGTGGTGCTAGAATTCAGACTCTACATCGTTGGGCCAAACCACAAGATGACTACTTCTCTAGACGCCTGTCACTTGGAAATGTCTTTAAGCAGTGTAACACCTTATTGTGCCAAGTAACAGAGGCCGCAACTGACACGTGAAGCTGCTTTGTACTGAATCAGACCCTTGGTCCATCTAGGACAGTATTGTCTCCTCAGACTAACAGCAGCTCTCCAGAACCTCAGGTGGAAGTCTTTCACATCACCTGCAACCTTATCCTCATAACTGGAGATGCCAGGGATTGAACCTGGGACCTTCCTCCTCCCAAGTAAATGTTCTACCACAGAGCCATGGCCCTCATTCGAAGAACATTTTCCTGGGAGAAAGACCCATTAAAAGCATGGGATTTACTTCTGAGTAAACCATTATTTCCAGATTTTATTAAGCTCATGTATCTAAATAATGCCATCCTCTAGCAAAAGATTTAGGGTGGGGATTTATAATTCAATCTCCAGATGGCTTACTCAAGCAATAAAAGAAACTAAGGGATGCAGTCTTGATCAGGAAGGGTTGTTTTTTCCCTTTAGTCTTAGGAATCTTCGTAATTTGGAAACACTCCGTGAATAGGTGCTGATGGTTCGTTGATGTTTGTTTGTTTCCCCGTGTTAACTCAAAACGTCTGCAACAGCAGGTCTTCCTTGGTCCAACCACAGCCAATCTCTCTTCGCTTTCTCTCCCATGTGACTCTTTATAGGCCCACCTGGTCCTCGAGGGGATTCCGGAGACCCAGGAGCACCTGGCCCTGCAGGCGTAAAAGGTCTGCCTGGTACCAAAGGTGAACCGGGTTTCCCTGGCGTTAAAGGCAAAGCTGGTGAGATTGGCCTTGCTGGAGTGGATGGGATGCCCGGCCTCCCCGGTCTGAAAGGTAAAGCACAAACCCTGAACCCAGAATTGTATGACCAGCTGCTCCAAGGGAAGCCAGTTTGGGAAAGAAGGCAGTGGAAAGTTTGGGGGCCTTTTTGCATTCTGTTCTGTTTTTCTCACTCCACAGCTTGAGCCCTTATTTTTGATACCTGTTTCTGTAAATGTAAATCCAGATTTTCAAATATGCAGTTCTGTGCAAAACCTTGTAAATTGAAAATGAGATCCAGCTTGTTCTTTGCCTAGAAAATGGAGCGGGGCAAACAGCTGAATCCAGGTCTGGAGGGGCTTCACCTTTCTCATCCCTCTTTCCTCTCACAAGGCAGCAAAGGTTCGCAGGGCGTTGGAGGGTTTAAAGGTGCCATGGGTCTCAAAGGATGGCCGGGCTGGAACGGAGTCCAAGGAGAGAAAGGCATACCTGGGCTGCAAGGTTCGCGAGGGCTGACGGGTGACCCAGGACAGAAAGGTACTTCCCTTCCCTTTGTCAGATGTTACCCTGATGCACATTGAACGGGTCTGGGGGTGTTTATTTTCCTAACATAGTGCATTTATTTAGAAGAACGCTAGATTTAGCTGGCTCCTATGTGTGGTAAGTGGAGAACAACTGTTCTGTTCCACAGGCTATGTTGTGCCTTTCCTCAGTCAGTGGTGGTCTTATTGATTCTTTGGTGCCTAGATAAAGGAAGCATTCCCATCCACTTCTTTGGTCCCATGTAGCCAATAGGGGAGCCCATACTCATGGGCAGTAACAACAAGGAAGCCCATATCCATGGGCTATAACAACAAGGGAGCCTATACCTATGGGCTATAACAACAAGGGAGCCTATAGGCTTGGCCTATAACAATAAAGGATCCTCCAGGCAGAGGCTATAGCAACAGGGAAGACATAGCTACTTTGGATAGTTAGGATGGCAATAGGAGAATGACAGTGTCCCCTTTTTCTAGGCTCCATAGCTTCACAAGAAAACGTTCTTAGCTTCATTGTTTTGATTCCAAGGGAACAGTCTATGGCCACACTCCACCTGAAGCCACTAAAATACAGAAGGGATAATTTATTTATTCAAAACGTCCCTGTCTCCTTGGACGTGAGGTGGCGCACAACGTAGCAACCGAGTGGCAAAGGCACAAGTAAAGAAAATTTCAAAAAATTAAAATACACAAGGGGTACTTATTCTTTCCTCACGTCCTACTTAGAATGGAGTAGTACATGTCAAAGCCACAGATCATAGTAACTGGGAGAAAGGTGCAAATTATACAAGTCACTCAAAAGTGGCTATGAAGAGGAAGGGAAGGCATGAGGGGGCAGAGCTTTGCATTTATTCCTGTCTTTCCGCGCTCTCTCTTCTCATGAACATTTTGCTTTGAGAGGTGTTTTGCACCCAGCTGCAGGCCAAGCAGGAACAAGACGGGAGCTTGAGTTGTGAGGCTGATGAATGTGACCTCTGAGCATTTATTCCTCGTAGGTGACCGTGGAGAACACGGCCCATCAGGAGCACCCCCGAAAATCATGGCAAGCATGCTCCAGGAAGTGAAAGGTGAAAAAGGAGACGAAGGAGAAGCCGGGGTCAAGGGGTACATTGGCTTCAAAGGTAAGGAGCCAACCCAGCGCCATTGGGAACAGGGTGTGATATTCTGCATGCCACCGGGCCTCCAGCACACCAATTTTTAGTTCAGTATTTGTTTACTGTTATTGTCACACTGTCCATCACATATTGCTAGTCTAATGTTGCTAAATCTGTGGCCGGAGGGTGACATTCCTAACATACAGAGAAGGCTGATAAATCTACTCTTTACTGCCGCAAAAAATGTTATAGCCAAGAAATGGAAAGATGAACATCCTCCGACAATTAATTTATGGCTATCTAAAGTATGGGAATATTTTTTATTAGAAACCGTTTCCATTTTCAACACAAATGATCAAAATGAATGTGAACTAATGAACCCAACTGGTAAATGGTATCCAATTGTGGATAAATTAACCTTTGAATCTTTCGATTGGAAAGCGATTAGTACAGCAAAATACTCATTGTTATTAATAAGCTAGCAAACTTCTATCAGTATTTGATTAAGTTAACTTGGAAGTCTGTATACTCACTGACATTTACATGAAAAATTGTTAAAATGTTGTTTGAGAACCTGTATTTATTTGTTATGTTCTAAGTTAAAATCCAATAAAATATTATGGTTAAAAAAAAAATCACATATTGCTAAAACAATGGTAGGTAGGAAGAGTTGTCAAGTCACAACTGACTCGCGGGGTGACCCCGTAGGCGTTTCAAGGCAAGAGATGAAGGGAGGTGGTCTCTGCCACTGCCTCCCTCTGTGTGGCAGCCCTGGGCTTCCTGGGTGGTCTCCCATCCAAGTGCTAACCAGGACCGACCCTGCTTAGCTTCTGAGATCTGACGAGATCGGGGTAGCCTGGGCCATCCAAATCCGGAGAATAAAAGGGTATCGTTTGTAAATCGTGAAACCAAGATGCAATACTAAAATTATCTCCCAAGATTCACGCAGGACACGCCCTACAGCAGGGCATCCTTGTGCGGCTATTCGTTAGGAAAGTTCAGCAGAACACTTCTTTCTCAAGTTGGTGCTCTTGTGGCCAAAGACAGGCCTCTCTAGAAGGCTCAGACAGCTGTCCATCTGCCACCAATACGGTTGCCAGACCCCCTAGTCCAGGCGGGGGTCTCCCACTTTAACACACACACCCCAAGTCACTCCCTCTTACCTCTGAGAAGCCAGAAATAACCGTGATGTGCCTTCGTAACCCGGATGTGATGTCGGGTGGCACCGCTCTGGTTTTGGGGCAAAATTCTATGATTTGTAGCTAATTCTACCATAGAGTTTTGCCCAAAAACCAGAGTGTCGCTGCCCAAAGTCCCCAATGTGCCTCCGTCACTTCCGGGTGATGTAGGCACATCGCACCGCTCCTCCCCACTCCCAGGAAGCTCCCTCCCGCCAGTATGCCATTGGGACTCGGCAACCCTAGCCTCCAAAGGCAGCTTGACAGAAGCTGGGTTTCCTGTGATGTCAACATTTTCCAACACTCTGTTCGCAGGCAGTAAAGGGATGCCGGGCTACCCTGGCCAGACTGGAAGGCCTGGTTCACCTGGTTTCCCAGGTTACGTTAAAGGCCATAAAGGAGAGACTGGGATCAAAGGATTCAAAGGCTTTCCGGGGCATCCTGGTGCCCAAGGACCTCAGGGCATTCCCGGCTTCCCTGGAGCCACTGGACGTCGGGTGAGCAAATCCCATTTGTTTGTTTATTTGAGTCACGACTTTGTGTGGGGTCACCTTGGACGGGGGGAGTGGCAAAGGGAGAGTGGGAGGGAGAAAGAGTTATATCTTTCCTCTCTCAAGCCCTGATCTATGCTGCCCCCCCGCTCCGGTCCAGTGTCTGTTTTATATGTCTAGTGCCCCGTATAGTTCAGCCCCAGAATGCTCTTTGTTCAGCATTAGCACACGGTATTCATGATGGAGAAACTGATTGGAGAGGATGATCCTAAGAACACTTCCATGGGGGAAGCCCCAACTGAGTCGACTTCAGGGGGATCCAATGTGCTCCAGGGTGCTCCAAGTCACCAAGCAGGTCTTTGTTTTCCAAGAGACAGCATTTCAGGTGCAATAAAACAGGCAGCAAGAGCCTCAGAGCAAATAGAACAAGAGACTCGAGAACAAGAAGAAGAGACTCACTCCCATAGGGATCAAACAATTATATCCCAATTTAATCATGATTCATGATTAGCTGTGGCCATTTGGCCAATTGCAAGTGGGCATGGGTGTGCCCAATTGTTGGTTGCCATGGTTGCTAACATCAGGTTTGTGGGATTGGCTGGACGTTTGGAGACCCTGCCTGCAGTCAGCTGACCCAAACTCCAGCTACTTCATTGTGTACGTGACTGGTCGCAAGTGGGCCAGAGTGTGGAGCCATGAGGTCTGGCTTTTGGCACCAAGGTGTGAAAGAATGTGGGTTTATGGCATGGCTATTGAGGCCATGTGGCCTCACCATTTGGCTTGCAACAGGAAATAAGACACAGCATGTTATCATAATGTAATCACAGGAGAAGGCATGTGGATATAGAAAGCAGAAAGCAATTTTTCTATACAGGCACAGAGAAGATACCAAGGGCAGGGTAGAGAGCTCTGGCTACTAGATACCTCCCATCCAAGCTCTTTATCATGACCAGGACTCTTGTGCAATCATCTGTTTGTGAGCTTCCATGGATGGTGAAGGGGATGGGACTTCTCCACTCCGTCACCAGTCATTCGATTTCAACAATGGCCCCTTGAGACTGCATGGATCAAGGCCGTGATTTGTAACGAAAATTAATATGAATGGAGTAAATAGTTCTAATGGAGTGGTGGATCCCAGAGCCATATCAGTCCTAGCAAAATGGCAGAATTCTTATAGTATCAAAGTAGTTCTGCAGGAGCTGTGACGTCTAATGATGTCTAAAGAAAATATGAAACTCCCTCAACCACCCGAAGGACAATGTTACAGTAATTAATAAAAACAAACGGGGGTAAAAAAAAAAAAAAGGCCGTGGTTTCTTGCAAAATCTGAAGGACCATCTCATAGAATCATAGAGTTGGAAGGGATCTCCAGGGTCATCGAGTCCAAACCCCTGCACAATGCAGGAAATTCACAAATACCTTCCCCCCCACAGCCCCAGTGACAGCTGTTCCACACCCAGAAGGTGACAAAAAGCCTCCAGGATCCCTGGCCAAACTGGCCTGGAGAAAAATCTCTTCCTGGCCCCCAAAGTGGCGATCGGCATTTCCTTGGGCATGTAAGAAAGGGCCACGAGAACTAAGCACTGGATGCAACCCTTCCTGCCCTCCCTTCTCGTGATCTGCCTGAGTTCACAGAATCAGCATGGCTGTCAAATGGCCATCGAGCCTCTGCTTGAAAACCTCCAGATAAAAACTCCTTCCTTATGTCCCTGTGTGCCAGCTGCTGTCATCAGGCAGCCGTCTGTTGGCTGTCCCACCATGTAGGGTGGCTCATCTGGCATCAACCAGAGCCCAGGGCCTTTTCCATTGTGGCTCCGGCTCTGTGGGATGGCTGCGGCTCCTGAAGAGGTGGGGACTAAGCCCTGGATGCAACCCTTCCTGCCCTCCCTTCTCGTGATCTGCCTGAGTTCACAGAATCAGCATGGCTGTCAAATGGCCATCGAGCCTCTGCTTGAAAACCTCCAGATAAAAACTCCTTCCTTATGTCCCTGTGTGCCAGCTGCTGTCATCAGGCAGCCGTCTGTTGGCTGTCCCACCATATAGGGTGGTTCATCTGGCATCAACCAGAATCCAGGGCCTTTTCCATCGTGGCTCCAGCTCTGTGGGATGGCTGCGGCTCCTGAAGAGGTGGGGGTGGGCGCCCTCCTTGGAGATCTTCAGGACCGGCAGGGCTCTTTTTGTAGCAGGCGCTCCTTTGCATATTAGGCAACACACCCCTAATTTAGCCAATCCTCCAAGAGCTTACAGAGATCTTCTTACAGGGGCTACTGTAAGCTATTGGAGGATTGGCTACCTCAGGGGTGTGTCGCCTAATATGCAGAGGAGTTCCTGCTAAAAAAGAGCCCTGTAGGCACTGCAAGGCCTGCTTGCTTGCCAGGGCTTTGGCATAGTGGTCAAGTGCGCGAACTCTAATCTGAGAGAACCAGGTTTGATTCCCCACTCCTCCACTAGCAGCTGCTGGATGACCTTGGGCAAGCCATAGTTCTGACAAGAACTGTCCTTGAAAGTGCAATTCTTGAAAGAGCTCTCTCAGCCCCACCTACGTCACAGGGTGTCTGTTGTGGGGAAGGGAAAGGAGATTGTAAGCCTCTCTGAGAAGTCGAGTGAAGGGTGGGATATAAATCCAATCTCCTCCTCCTCCTTCTCCTTCTTTTGTGGGGGTCTGAATGGCAGGGATCCTTTAAGGGGAGAGGGGGGAGAGATTTGGGATTTGCAATTCTATTTTCGGAGCTAGAGATTTTTTAAGCTATTATCGTAAATTGCCTTGAACCACGAGGAAAGGTGGGATGTAAATTTTTGACTAAATTACTAAAATTGTCAGAGGAATTTCTGACTTTCTACCCCACACCTGTTCGGAAATAACCTCCTTTGGATCTTGAATACCGAGGGCTTTTTTTGTAATTTTTTTCACTTTAAACGTAACCTCTTTGGAAATTAAGGCTTTTAGTTGAAAGAAAGACAAATAATGGCTGCGGTCACACGGAAACATTAGCCACGCTACAGAGATGGAAGATAGGCGGATCAGGTTAAAACGTCTGTGGCATTTTCATCTTACCCTAACAATGTTGATGCGTCATATCTGTTCCGATTGATAACCTGATGTCCACTTTCAACCATGTGACAGGGAGACAAGGGAATGCCAGGAGGAACAGGAACATTTGGCGAGAAGGGCCTGACTGGGGACATTGGTGAGTCCTTTTGTACTCCGCTACAGCCGAGCTTTTAAAAGTAATTTTTTCATCACGTGTATGCAGTTCTGTGCAGAATGGAAACTTGTTACCAGTCACCTAATCCAGAATAAGCTGAATTCACTAGGAAGATTTCCACAGTCTTCTTGGGGCATTGATCCCAAATTTATACATCTATTTTCCCCCCCGTTTTGTTCACTTCCTTTCTGTCTTCACCTTTCATTTTTGGTTAATAATGCACAGTAATCTCAAGTTTTTCACTTCCGCGTGAAAAAAATACGTTACAGAGACGGAAGATAGGCGGATTAGGTTAAAACATCTGTGGCATTTTCATCTTTACCCTAACAATGTTGATGCGTCATTTCTGTTCCGATTGATAACCTGATGTCCACTTTCAACCATGTGACAGGGAGACAAGGGAATGCCGGGAGGAACAGGAACATTTGGCGAAAAGGGCCTGACTGGGGACATTGGTGAGTCCTTTTGTACTCCGCTACAGCCGAGCTTTTAAAAGTAATTTTTTCATCACGTGTATGCAGTTCTGTGCAGAATGGAAACTTGTTACCAGTCACCTAATCCAGAATAAGCTGAATTCACTAGGAAGATTTCCACAGTCTTCTTGGGGCATTGATCCCAAATTTATACATCTATTTTCCCCCCCGTTTTGTTCACTTCCTTTCTGTCTTCACCTTTCATTTTTGGTTAATAATGCACAGTAATCTCAAGTTTTTCACTTCCGCGTGAAAAAAATGTTAAAATATATGTGCGAATACCTTGTTAATTTATGCTTCTAACAGGTGGCAGGGGAGATACTATAAATTTACCAGGAAGAACAGGTCTTAAAGGAGAAGGCGGTACCGCTGGCTTCCCAGGTAAAACTCTTTCACTGCTGTTATGACGTGACCATGGTGGATTTCCCTCCCCCCCTTTCTTCATTCCAGATAACAGTGTGACAGTTATAAATCGTGTACGGCTGCGGTCACACGGAACAGTAGCCACACTAGAGAGGCCGAAGATAGGCGGATTTTCCGGGCGCAATCTCACCGCCACATCTGGGAAGCGTAGAGCTCCCTTGGCTCAACCGAGGCTTCCATCTGAAGATGCGCAGCAAAAAACTAGTACCTCGGAGGTACTAGTTTCCGGAAACCGCGGGGCAAGGGCGGGCGTCTGATCGCGTTTCCGGTGGCATCCGGCGCCCGCCCATGTCCCCTCGCAAACAGGTCATTTTTTTCCCCAAGGCTCCACAGATGCGCACAAGCACCCAACAGAGCATGTGCACACTTCAGTTTTAAAAAGTAAAAAAACAAACAACAACCCCGTTTTTCCACGCCGCCGTGCTTCTTTGCCTGTGGTGTGATCGGCACCTCCCCCCTAGCCACGGAACCTCGACGGGACCTCAACCGGATGTCTGATCTCGCAGTCGCGCATTAGTTTGCCCCGGGGCAAACAGCCACGCTTCCCCCCCCACACGCGCATTTTCCAGCCTGTGTGACCAGGGCCTACGTATAGCTGTTCTTAACTTCCAAAGTGTTTGTGGTCATCCAATCAAATTGTTTATTGCCATTGCCGTTTGCAGATGGGGAAATGAGACAGAGACTCCACCAACACTTCTGCTGTGTATGATTTTGGAACCCTTGAAGTAGCGAAAATGTTGTTGAATGTGCAGTTATCTGCCTAGATTTTAAAGCCATTATCCTCTTGAAGTCCATGAGTGTTTTGTGCATATACAGTTGTACAATGCTGGTGAGGTATCAAACGTTTGGAAAAAAATTGAATTAGCCCAAGCGTAGCATGTTGTAGTAAACTATTCCAAAGATCCAAGTAGGTTGATGTTAGTGGGCCTGGACTAACACATTTCTAAACAGCTGTCCCCATCGTGACATATTTCCTGAATCCATTTTGAGAGCATGAAAACCTTACTGCTCAAAGATAATAATGAACATCGTACCCTCATGTTCTATCCATAAAATGCAGATTGTGAGTTCATGCGGGGTCAATTGCTGTAGGGAATATTTAACCTTTCAACCCCCACTCTTTTGTTTGTTTGTTTAATTCAAAACAAGAATCCCTCCTTTGTTCCTAGCGTTTTAATGGAAAATGTGTGTTTTAAATGTCACTTTCCCCACCAGTTTGTTGTAGTGGTTAAGTGTGTGACTCTTCCACTGGCTCTCTCCCTTACTTTTTAAAAAAAGTTAATAGTGGCTGCAGCTTGAAGCCATGTGCCGGAGAAGACATGTTAACTTTCCCCCCTCTGTGCCATTTCCCCCATTTTTAGTCGCACTCACAGACATCTAGCTTCTTGGAGTATATGACAGGATAAAATGATATCTGGATCGTCCAAATGAGTAAATAAAGAGGGGAAATCCATCAGAAGTGAAAGTAAGAGGGGGGAAATGGGCAGCGTGCAGTCCTCTCCTTCCAGTGCTGCCTGTAGGTTTCCTCCAGAGAGCAAAAAGCAACTTCTAGTAGTGCAGTTTTAAAGCTGAAAAAAATAAGGGCCTGTGGGGGTTTGATTGTAGCCTCCCCCCCCATTCCCTGGCACCATGTCGGTGCAAAACTGGGATCACCCACAGGTGTTACAGCTGCACTTTTCTTTTAAAAAAGGAGATCTGCTCATACCTAGAATATAGTTTGAGCCAAGTGGCACGTTTGAGGCCAAGGAAGTTTTACCTGAATTGTAAGCTTTCGTATGCAAAACACATTTCTTCAGACAAAACGGAAATAAGATCTCAGAAGCTAGTTACAGGGGGAAAGAGGGTTGGGGGTAAGCCATTCAGAGAGGCCACTCACAGCCCAGGTGCATTTGCAGAACTGAAAATGGAATGGGTGGCCAGCAATGTTCCCTCTAAGCTATGGAATCTTGTGAGCAAAAATTCTACTTTATGAACTACTGACATTAAACTTGTGAACGAGCGATTTGGCTACTGCATAAATTAGCTTGCTCTGGAGCCCTCCTTGCTGAGTTGAGACAAAAATGTGTGAGCCGGAGGCTAAGAAACTGTGAGCTAGCTCACACTAACTCAGCTTAGAGGGAACACTGGTGGCCGGTAGGATCAGTGGATGGCAGCAAATTAGCACATGAATGCAAGAGTTCCTTAAAGAGACGTGAGAATGAAATCGGAGTCCAGCAGGACCCCCAGAGAAAAACCTGACTATACCTAGAACATGTTCAAGAGAAGTATTGCGGAAATGTCCTCTGCTCTCACACAACTTACTGGTCCTTGTAGGACTTCAGGCACCTTCTGCTTTGCATCTACAGCTTCGATAGATGGATTACTCATGGCATAACTATAACCAGGGTTGCCAACTGCTGGGTTGACAAATACCTGGATATTTTAGGGTGGAGTCTGGGGAGGGCAGGGTTTGGGGGAGGGGAGGGGCCTCAGCTGGATACAATGCCGTGGAATCTGTCCTCCAAAGCAGCCATTTTCTCTTGGTTGCCTGGAGATCAATTGTAACAGCGGAGGATCTCCAGGTGCCATCTGGAGGTTGGCAAACCTAAGTATAGCCAGGGCTATTTCTGGGCAGGAACGCACAGGAACGGAGTTCCGGCTGGCTTCAGAGTTGGCCACGCCCACTACAGCCATACCCTCTGCGTGCATGGCTACAGAGGGAAGGCCTGGAGAGTGGAAAAAAAAACCCGGCGACTCTGAGGTGGGTGGGCTGGGGGGGGGCCTGGACGGATTGGGGAGGCATTTAAATGCCTCCCCGTGCCTTCCCTGGCCGGCTTGCCGCAGGACGCTCGGGCAAACCAAGGGAAGGCATGGGTGTGGCCTAATATGCTAATGAGATGTGCTGTCCGGGGTGTGGCCTAATATGCTAATGAGTTCCTGCTGGGCTTTTTCTACCAAAAAAGCCCTGACTATAGCCAACACTGGGCCACTGTGTTTGCAGGATTAACTGGCACTGATTGCTTTTCCCTTTCCTTGCAGGTGTGAGAGGCCCCACAGGAGAAAAGGGGGAAAGCGGAGATCCGGGTTTTACGGGCATTGGAGGAATTCCGGGCTCACTAGGGGAACAGGGCTCAAGAGGACAAGAAGGTGCCGCTTGCCTTTTACACAGCCTCTTATAAGCTCAGAAACAATTTACATCTCTCCCCCGCCCCCCGCCCCCAATGGTACTGCTGAACATGGGCGCCCGCGGAATGCGCCGCAGGCGGAATGAGCGTGAAGGGCACGAATTCCTCCCGCTGTTGTGTGTTGCAGGAAGGGGTTATTCTTCTTTGCTCACACGCACTTCCCCACCACCACCACCACCACCACCCTGGACCATCTTACTTCTCAAAATGGTACTCTGTCCAACCTGGGCTTGCAGAAGAGGTACTAATGCCGGTGCCTTGTTTTCATGACTGCCTGAAGAAATATGAAATATAAAAGCAACGTACAGTGCATTCTTGAATAAAGAGGGGAGGGGGGATCGGTCCTTTTCTGGTCAAACTATCAACCAGCTTGGGACTCGTTCGTTCAAAGACAGACATTTGTGCCAAGTAACAAGGGCCGTTTGGCTTCCACCAATATTCGGATTATATCATGACTAGAAATAAGGCCCGTTGTGGAAATAAATACAACGAGATCTAGATAGAGGCTCTGGGAGCGTGCTCTGGCTTTGGGCAAACAGTGTCAGTTTCCTGGGGCGACCTCAGCAGGGTTTAATGACAGAGTCCACTGTTTTCTCCAGAGGGACTGATCTCTGCTACCTGAAGAGCATTTGTATGTTTGAGTTATCTGTAG